TAAAAATGTCTAGAAAAGGCAGGGCACCGTGGCTTATGCCTGTAATCCCAGCACTTTGGGAGACCCAGGCAGGCAGATCACGAGGTCAGGAGATCAAGACCATACTGGCTAACATGGTGAAACCGTCTCTACCAAAAACACAAAAAATTAGCTGGGTGTGGTGACGGGTGTCTGTAGTCCCAGCTACTCAGGAGGCTGAAGCAGGAGAATGGCATGAGCCCGGGAGGTGGAGCTTGCAGTGAGTGGAGATGGTGCCACTGCACTCCAGCCTGGGCGACAGAACAAGACTCCGTCTCAAAAAAAAAAAAAAAAAGTCTAGAAAAATACCCACCACACTAGTTAACCTGGACTACTCCTAAATAACAGGAGAGATAAGGATGTTCAGTTTTGTCTGTATCAACGAATTGTTTATAAAGGCAATGTATTTAAATATTAGTTATGTCATAAAATATTTAAGGTTCAGCTGGGAGAATGAGCACACTGCAATACGCAAAAAATAACTTTAAAAACAAAAGGGGGGCTGGGCACGGGGGCTCATGCCTGTTATCCTAGCACTTTGGGAAGTGGAGGTGGGAGGATCACTTGAGCCCAGGAGTTTAGGACCAGCCTGGGCCACATAGTTAAACTTCATCTCAAAAAAATAATAATAATAATAATAGTAATAAATAATAAAAACAAGGCCAGGCATGGTGGCTCATGCCTGTAATCCCAGCACTTTGGGAGACCAAGGTGCATAGATCACTGAGGTCAGGAGTTCAAGACCAGCCTGGCTAACGTGATGAAACCCCATCTTCACTAAAAACACAAAAATTAGCCAGGCGTGGTGGTGCGCACACAATCCCAGCTACTTGGGAGGCTGAGGGAAGATAATCGCTTGACCAAAAAGGTGAAGGTTGAAGTGAGCCAAGATTGTGCCACTACACTACAGCCTGGGTGACAAAGCGAGGCCCTGTCTCAAAAACAACAACAACAACAAAAATGAGAGCCGGCACAATGACTCAGATCTGTAATCCCAACACTTTGGGAGGCTAAGGCAGGAGGATAGCTTGAGGCCAGGAGCTCAAGACCAGCCTGAGCAACATAGTGAGACCATGTCTCTACAAACGCAAAAATAAAAACAATTTTTTTAATTTAAAAAATTAAAACTAAAAACAAATTAGGATTACCATATGACCTAGCAATTCCAACCCTAAGAATATACCCCAAAAAATTGAAAGCAGGGACTCAGATAGTTATACGACAATGAACATTATTCACAATAGCCAAAAAGTAGAAACAACCCATGTCTGCCAACAGATTAATCAACAAAACGTAGTCCATCCACTCAAAGGAGTATCACCCACTTTATAAATTTCTACTTTATAAATTTCTCTAGAACGTAATTTTGTCTGAGAATACTCAGAAAAAACAGTGAAGATATAAAGCTATACAGCATGAGCAGTCCACACTCACTGCACTCTAGAAAATATTATGCACTTGAGACTCCATCTCAAAAACAATAAATAAATAAAAAGAAAGTCTGATGCATACATTTAAAGTCAGGATACAAACCCAGTGCTTCAAAGCAGTTATCTCTAGAGGATAAGATGACAAGGGGAATTTCACTTTTTCTTTTTTTTTTTTTTGAGACGGAGTCTGGCTCTGTCACCCAGGCTGGAGTTCAGTGGCACGAACTTGGCTCACTGCAACCTCCGCCTCCCGGGTTCAAGCGATTCACCCACCTCAGACTCCTGAGTAGGTGGGACTACAGGCGCCCGCCACCACACCTGGCTAGTTTTTTGTATTTTTAGTAGCGACGGGGTTTCACCGTGTTAGCCAGGACGATCTTGATCTCCTGACCTCATCATCAGCCCACCTTGGCCTCCCAAAGCGCTGGGATTACAGGCGTGAGCCACCGCGCCCGGCCAATTTCACTTTTTCTGTATTGTTTGAAGGTTTACAGTGATCATGTACTATGACCAAAAAAAACAAAACAAAACCCAAAAAACTCAAGTTCCAAAAGTACTATGTGGTTAGAGCCTTTCGGAAGAATTTCTGAATTCCTAAAGCCTTTAAGAAGAATTTCACTTCATGGGAACAACTCTCCCAGCATTTCTAGAGTACTGCATTCTGTAGGGACTTGGAACACTCCAAATTATGAAATAAATAGTGCTCTCCCAGCCGATGCTAATAAGGTATTTGAGTACTTTCCCTACATTACAGTAAGCAAACAACTGATGGACCAAAAAAAAAAAAAAAAAAAAGGTTTTAAAGTGACAAGGTTCAAATCTAGGGTAATAAATGGCAAGATGGGAGCACTCACATGATCAAAGAAATGTACCACTGCCAGCTTTTTGCTGCGCCTGGTAAAGACGCGCTGCACTTTAGCAATTTTGCCGAAATGGTTCTCCAGAATGGTCCTGTCGTTGAGGTAGTCGGGGATGTTCTTGCACTGGATGGCTGTGACTTCAGAGGGACACAAGCCCCCAAGACTGTCTGTGCTCTCGCTTCTGTTACTCGGACGCGCCGGAGTTCCTCTTAGAGAATCTAGGGGTTCAGAGAGTGGACACTTAAACCATCAGATGTTTCCGACAACAAGAGGCACCAACTGTGTCAAAGCAGAGGAAATTTTCACAGATTTAAGACCTGCTCCATATGACATGTTAGAATCCCTAATGTTTATGGGAGATTTATGTGAAAAATCAAGCTAACCCCCCAGAGAAACGTATTGACAACCTGCCAGCAGGATTTACTCTACGTTCTACATTTTCAGAGCTCACCTTCTTTCTTCTCTCTACTTTCAGTTTCTTCCTCTTTATTCACACCTGGCATCCGGGAAGGTGCCAGGACAGACTGACTCCCTCCTGGGATAGCCATGTGGTCACTTTCTCCAGACTCAACAAATCCAATTTCCTTTTTGGCCTCCTTGTTGCCCAGACGACATACTTCCTTATTGCTTTTGAAAACATCCTGTATCGTCCGACCAAATAAAGTACCTCCCCGGGGTCGATTCAGGCGGACAGGTCGTTTGTCCGGAGGATGATCACCCCGGGACAGAGGATCCAAATCTTCTGCTGTCTCGTGGCCATGTCTCCTTGGGGAGCGATCCTGATCCTCCTTCCTTTTCATTCCTTTCATTAGGCTGGGAAGTGGTTCCACCTGGGAAACAGCTTCTTCACACCCCTGCCTGACACCTGCTTTGCTAGCCTGGAAAGGTTCGCCCAAAACCGCAGATGACACAGGGAAGCTGCTGAAGCTATTACTAGAACTTCCAAATATTGACTTAGGTCCTCTCTTCTCTTCCTCTACATTTTGGTTTGACAAAGCAGGGGTAAAGGCAGATAATGAATTATTACTACTAACAGGTTTTGAAAAGGTAAAATTTGAATTGGTAGCTGAACTACTTGTTACTTGAGGAAAAGAGAATGGGGCCAGGCCTCCAGGTGCACTACTAATTGGGTGGGAAAACGTGAAAAACCCAGAAGCAATTTGGCTCTGGGTTTTCTCTGGCTCAGATTCAGCCCCCAGTATTGGTTTGAACACTGCATTTTCCAGAGGTTTAAAGCTGAATTCTGTTTTCCCAAAACCAGAGTTCACTATTTCTCCAGCTTCTTGTCCAAAAGCAGAGGTGCTTGGGAAAGCCCCAACACTGGTGGGTGATTTAAAACTAAATCCTGGGTTTCCCAGCACAGATGAACTTGAAGGCCCAGAGGTAGCCACAAAGGTGGAAGTGTGCTCAAGTCCAGAAAAGGGTCCAACACTTGAGGATTGGGTGAACCCTAATGTTTGCACTGAAGAGGAATGACTTACTCCGGAAGACGCTGGAAAGCTGGACACCTGTGAAAATCCCGAGCTCTTCCCAGATAAGGTACTGTTTTGTCCAAAAAGAGAAGGTTGACCAAATCGAAATGGCGACTTAGATGGAAGTGTTCCTACATTACTAGAAGACGCTGAAAAAGCACTAGGCTGCTGCCCACTGAAAGGATTAGTTGGGTTCATCTTCTGTTCCAATTATTAGAAGGTAATAAGTATTACGTGTGCAAAATTAACTGGCTTCCTGAAACAGCCCCGTAGCACTAGGGAGCTCCCCTTCGTCTTCAGAACACGCTGAAAGACAAAAATTCAGATCATCACAGCTATGTTCTGCTACAAGACTAAGAAAAGAATTTTTGAACACTGTCACACTAAAAGATAACTATTTCAAAGGCAGGCAAAGGGCTATTATTTTCCGAGAGCCAACAGGTTATTTTGTTGGAGGGTGGAGTAGAGAGTGGTACAAATAATTACTTTGTTACAGAGATTTAAAGCGTGATCCCTTTAAGATTAAAAGAAAAGAAAGCCGAATAAGAAAGCCGACTCCTTTTACTGAGTTAGTAAATTCATGAAAAACCTCCATTGGTAGTAAGAAGATAAATGCTGTTCCACCTTACAGCTTAGAGACGAATTTCTCCTGTCTTCCTCCAATCTCTACAGCCGGAGAATTCAGCGTAACGCTGCCTGGCTTCCCTCGGAGCGGCTGGAGCGCTAACCACTGTCTCACATTCCTTTATCGCGCCCTGGCGACCACCCTCGAGCCGGCTGGAAGGGCGAGGGCGCTGCCACGGAGCTGCGGCCTCTCGGCGGGGACGGCGTGCCGGGGAGCCTAATCTTCCACCCAGCACAGCCCGAAACGGCGGAGGCCGCGCGGTGGGCCCGGGCCGGCCTGGTCACTGTACTGCCCCGGGCTCGCCAGGGGCCGCCGGCGCCGCAACGCTCCGTTAGCGACGATGTGGAGGCCCGGGCGCGCGGACGTGCGCGGGGGAAGGAAACGGCGCCCCCGGCGCCGGCCCAGCCCCCACGCTCACCGTCTAGCCGCAGGACCCCGAGGCCCGCGCTGCCCTCGGGCCCCTCGGAAGGACTAGAGGCGCAAACACAGGCCGCTGCCGCGATACTCAGCGCTGCCCTCCGCGGGCAGGAAACGCCGCGGACCGACTTCCGGTTCGCTCGGCACTACCGTGTTCCGCCCCGCCCGCTGCGATCCGGTTCCGCTCTCCCCAACCGGCTCGGCGGCGGGGCTTCCGGTCGGGAGGGTCCGCCAGCTGTCGCGCCTTTTGCCGGGTCCAGACATCGGTACGTCTGGGCGGGTTTCTAGTCTCCCAAGCGAGAGCGTCGCATTCACCCCCGTCGGTCTGCGGGCGCCCCAGACCCCAGAGGACCTGGCCCCAGCGCTTACCTGTGTCCCCCATTCTGTGCTCCCCATTCCAGCCCGTTCCCTCCTCCGCCGCGTCCCTCCCCGGCCGCGTCCCTCCCCCGCACCCCGCCGCGTTCTCGCGCGCCTCGCCCCGCGCGCACAGTGCACCTGTCCCTTCTCTGGGAACCGCTCCTTCCGCTCCGCCCTCCTGGAGTCCCGGCCTGATTCCGCGGCGTCCTTCCATAGCCCCTCGTTGTTGCATCCTCCTTGTGGTAAATGTAAATTACCTTAAGATTTTTCAATCAGTTCCACCAAATAAAGTGATTTGATTGCGTGTGCATGTGTATTTTTACAGAATGTGTTATCACTTGTACTGATTGGTCTTCTCTTACACCTTAACCCCAGGTTCCGTTGCAAACATTTTTAAAGGGCTGGTTATTCTTCGTGAAATGAGTTTGGTGATTAGAAACCTGCAGCGAGTCATCCCCATCAGGAGAGCGCCACTTCGCAGTAAGATCGAGATTGTAAGGAGGATTTTAGGAGTGCAGAAATTTGACCTGGGGATCATCTGTGTTGACAACAAGAATATTCAGCACATTAATAGAATCTACAGAGGTAGAAACGTCCCAACCGATGTGCTTTCTTTTCCATTTCATGAGGTAAAAAAAAAAAAGGGTTCCTCTTGTCTAGCCTACCTTCCCAGAGTAAATTTCCTGTCTTTTTTTTTTTCTTTAATTAAGACGGAGTCTTGCTCTGTCACCCAGGCTGGAGTGCAGTGGTGCGATCTCGGCTCGCTGCAACCTCCCTGCCTGCTTCAAGTGATTCTTTTGCCTCAGCCTCCCCAGTAGGTGGGACTACAGATGTGGGCCACCACACCTGGCTATTTTTTTTTTTTTTTTTTTTGAGACGGAGTCTTGCTGTGTCGCCCAGGCTGGAATGCAGTGGCGCGATCTCGGCTCACTGCAAGCTCCGCCTTCCGGGTTTAGGCCATTCTCCTGCCTCAGCCTCCCAGTAACTGAGACTATAGGCACCCGCCACCGCGCCCGGCTAGTTTTTTGTATTTGTAGTAGAGACGGGGTTTCACCGTGTTAGCCAGGATGGTCTCGATCTCCTGACCTCGTGATCCGCCCACCTTGGCCTCCCAAAGTGGGTTAATTTTTTTGGGGGGGGTATTTTTAGTAGAGACAGAAGTTTCACCATGTTGGCCAGGCTGCTCTTGAACTCCTGACCTCAGGTGATCTGCCTGCCTCGGCCTCCCAGAGTGTTGGGATTACAGGAGTGAGCCACGGCGCCCAGCCTAAATTTCCTGTATTAATTATATTATAGGCTAGGCTCTGTGGCGCATATAAGTATATATATTACAGACATGATTTTTAATTTTAATTTTGAAAATTTCCAAATATACACAAAAGTAGAGAGAGCAGTATATTCAGCCTCCACTGATCGATGGCCGTCACCCAGAGGCCACAATTACACCGGTAAGCCAGCAGAAAAAGAAAGGTAACAGCCGGGCGTGATGGCTCATGCTGATAATCCCAGCACTTTGGGAGCCCAAGGCAGGTGGATCACCTGAGGTCAGGAGTTCGAGATCAGCCTGGCCAACATGGTGAAACTCTGCCTCTACTAAAAACACAAAAAATTAGCTGGGTGTGTGGGGGGAGGGGCGCAGTGTGCCTGTAATCCTAGCTACCTGGGAGGCTGAGGCAGGAGAATCGCTTGAACCCCTGAGGTGGAGGTTGCAGTGAGCCGAGATCGCACCATTGCACTCCAGCCTGGGCAACAAGAGGGAAACTCTGTCTCAGAAAAAAAAAAAAAAGAAGCCGGGCGCGGTGGCTCACGCCTGTAATCCCAGCACTTTGGGAGGCCGAGGCGGGCGGATCACAAGGTCAGGAGATCGAGACCACGGTGAAACCCCGTTTCTACTAAAAATACAAAAAATTAGCCGGGCGCGGTGGCGGGCGCCTGTAGTCCCAGCTACTCAGGAGGCTGAGGCAGGAGAATGGCGTGAACCCGGGAGGCGGAGCTTGCAGTGAGCCGAGATTGCGCCACTGCACTCCAGCCTGGGCGAGACTCTGTCTCAAAAAAAAAAAAAAAAAAAGAAAAAGGTGACTAGCGGCCACCCCCTTCCCCTCCTAATGCTCTCAGTGAATTAAAAGAGAGAAGCAAAGTGCTTCTGCAATATTTTTGCAATTTTAAGCGGGATTCGTTAATGAATATGTGCACATTGGAAAAATCAAAACAACACTGAAAGTAACAGACTGGGGTAAATATTTCCAACAGACTCGATGTGATAGCAGTCAGGTTATTATCTACATTCTGTACGTGACTTCATTCAAGGCTTCCCACATTGTAGCAGCAGGAATTGGAGCAATCCTTTGGGAAAGCAACTTGGCAAATCTACTCCAAGAGCATTTCAAACAGACGTATCCTTTAGTCCAGTAGTGACGCACCCAAGACAATAAACCAAAAGACAGAAGAGGCAAGGTACAGTGGCTCACGCCTGTAATCCCAGCACTTTGGGAGGCCGAGGTGGGTGGGTCATGATGTCAGGAGTTCGAGACCATCCTGGCCAACATGGTGAAACCCCGTCTCTACTAAAAATACAAAAAAAGTTAGCTGGGCTTGGTGGCACGTGCCTGTAATCCCAGCTACTCGGGAGGCTGAGGCAGGAAAATCGCTTGAACCAGGGAGTCGGAGGTTGCAGTGAACTGAGATCACGCCACTGTACTCCAGCCTGGCAACAGAGAGAGACTCCGTCTCAAAGGAAAAAAAAAAAAAAAAGAAAATGCTGAATCATGTAAAAATGTCTTAAAATGTTAATTTATTGGCTGGGCCTATAATCCTAGCACTTTGGGAAGCTAAGGTGGGAGGATCACTTGAGCCCAGGAGTTCAAGACCAGTCTGGGCAACATAGTCAAACCTTGTTTCTACAAAAAATATAAACAACAATTAGCTGGGCATGGTGGTGTGCAAACCTGTAGTCCCAGCTACTCAGGAGGCTGAGGTGAGAGGATCGCCTGAGCTCAAGAAACTGAGGCTGCAGTGAGCCAAGATTGCACCTCTGCACTCCATCCACCCTGGGCCGCAGAGTGAGACCCTGTCCCAAAAAAAGAAAAGTTACTGTTTTCTGTAATAGGAAAATAAAAGGAGCACCCTAAATATCCAGCCATAGGTGACTGACTTAGTGTGAACAGTCCTTAACTAAGTGGGCTGGTCTTTATAGTCTTTATGTGGAAAATGTGAAAGACTCTTTAGGACAAAATACCAAGTAGAAAGAACAGAAATGTACAATCGTGTTCATGTGATGGTTTAACTCTGTAGAGGTTGTGGATCTGTGTGATTCTGCATTGGGAGGGATGAAAGAAATGAAAAGCCATATGACAAGGTGATATCAACCTAAACAACAAACAGGTTTTTAAAGAAAAGGATGTTTATTTGGGATAGAGCATTGCAGTGAAAATACACATACCACATGCCATAGTAGACTGTGCATATTCAAGGAGGTAAAGGAAGGCAAAGGTTTTTTTTTTTCTTTTCTTTTTTTTTTTTTTGAGACGGAATCTTGCTCTGTCTGTCACCCAGGCTGGAGTGCAATCTCGGCTCACTCTCCTCTCAGGTTCAAGTGATTCTCCTGCCTCAGCCTCCTGAGTAGCTGGGATTACAGGCGCCCGCCATCACATCTGGCTAATTTTTTTTTTTTTTTTTTTTGTATTTTTAGTAAAGTCAGGGTTTCACCATGTTGGCCAAGCTGGTCTAGAACTCCTGACCTCAGGTGATCTACCCGCCTCTGCCTTCCAAAGTGTTGGGATTATAGGCGTGGGTCACTGAGCCCGGCCTGGCAAAGGTTTTTAAAGGAAAAAATAATTGTTTTGAGATAATGGTCCTTGGTTACAAAGATCAATAACAAGGTTAATGCCCGTCCAAGGTTGGACAGGCAGTTGCTAGGCTGATTATCCTTACAGAAGTTCTGTGTGTGTGTAAGGTTGTCAGGTTGTCATAGCCTTTGTGCAAGGTTGCATTGTGTGTGTGTGTGTGTAAAGTTGTTATAGCCTTTGTGCAAGGTTGCATTTTGTGTTTGTGTAAGGTTGTCATGGCCTTTGTTGCAGTTTTTGCAGTCTTTACTGACAGTTTTTGTTATCAGGTATGAAAGTATGAGAATCCTCTCTTCATAGCTTTCCCTAGTTCTATTTGTCAGGTTTTTTGATTTGTTTGTATAACCCTAATGGCTCTATTTTGATTCTGACAACTTCCTTTTTTTTTTTTTTTTTTTGATACGGAGTCTTGCTCTGTCAGCCAGACTGGAGTGCAATGGCGCAGTGTAGGGGCTCACTGCAACCTCTGCCTCCCGGGTTCAAGCGATTCTCCTGCCTCAGCCTCCCGAGTAGCTGGGTTAAGGCATGTGCCATCACACCTGGCTAATTTTTGTATTTTTAGTAGAGACGGGGTTTCACCATGTTGGTCAGGCTGGTGTCAAACCCCTGACCTCGTGATCTGCCCACCTCGGCCTCCCAAAGTGCTGGGATTACAGGTATGAACCACCACGCCTGGCTATTCTGACGATTTTCACAATGGAAACAATTCAGGGCACTTGTGTACAGTTGGCTGGGCAACCCACCCTGCCACAGACCCAGCTGCTACCCTGGCCTTAGACATGCAGCTTTCGAGTGATTTGGGTGGCTGGCACAGTGGCTCACGCCTGTAATCCCAGCACTCAGGGAGGCCGAGGCAGGCAGACCACCTGAGGTCAGGAGTTCGAGACTAGCCTGACCCATGAAACCCCATCTCTACTAAAAAATACAAAAATTAGGCCAGACGCGGTGGCTCATGCCTGTAATCCCAGCAGTTTGGGAGGCCACGGCGGGTGGATCACCTGAGGTCGGGAGTTTGAGACCAGCCTGACCAACATGGAGAAACCCAGTCTCTACTAAAAATACAAAATTAGCCAAGCGTGATGGCGCATACCTGTAGTCCCACCTACTCGCTAGGCTGAGGCAGGAGAATCACTTGAACCCAGGAGGTGGACACTCCAGCCTGGGCAACAAGAACAAAACTCTGTCTCAAAAAAATAAATAAATAACAAAAATAAACTGGGCACGGTGGCATGCGCCTGTAATCCCAGCTACTCAGGAGACTGAGACAGGAGAATCGCTTGAACCCAGGAGGCAGAGGTTGCAGTGAGCCAAGATTGTGCCATTCCACTGCAGCCTGGGCAACAAGAGCGAAACTCCATCTCAAAAAAAAAAAAAAAAAAAAAAGTGATTTGGTCAGAGAGCAAGTGCTTATTTGCCTTGGGAATAACCAGGATGAAACCTGTCAACCTGTGGTTGGGTTACGATTCCTGTTCTCTAAGTCTGCATTTCCTCATTTTTTAGCATCTGAAAGCCGGTGAATTTCCCCTGCCTGAATTTCCAGATGACTACAATTTGGGAGACATTTTCCTAGGGGTGGAGTATATCTTCCATCAGTGTAAAGAAGATGAAGATTACAATGACGTCCTGACTGTAAGCGGGGATGCTGAAATCATATAACCTGGCGCATGGAACATGGGCCATACAAAGGGGTCGAGATCACAGCCCTGCATCCTGTGTGTCCATGGGTACCATAAGGGCCACTGGGGGAAGAACCTGTAAGCAGGGTGTGAGGAGCACCCAGGCTGGGTAGGAACTGCATGCCTCATGTGACAGTTGGAGGAGAGAGAGAACATGCTGTGAAAACACAGAAGCTCCCAGAGAAGCCTTCTCAGCTTTTATCTCTGGAATACAGCAGACTATGTTGAGCTAACCCAGACCTGCTGGATCAGCTTCTTTCTGAGCTGCCAGAAGTACAGAGGTTGGAGCCTCCACCACCTTCCAGATCTGTTTCTCCTCAGTGTAATCCGCCTATGGGTTCTTCCTGCCCACTGAACAGACAAAACCAATTCACTGAGACCGTTGTATTGCAGTAGAGAAAGAGTTTAACACAGAGCTAGCCAAGTGGAAAGACGAGTTATTATTCAATCTTCCAGAGAACTCAGAGGCTAGGGTTTTCATGGGCAATTTGGCAGGCAGGGGCTAGGGAATGGGTGCTGCTGATTGGTTGGGGACAGACCATGGGGTATAAATGATTTTTGTCCGCTGAGTCCACCTCTGGGTGGAGCCACAGAATCAGCTGAGTCATGAGTCTCAGGTCCAGGTGGAGTCTGTAGGTTGCCAGCACTCAAAAGTCTGAAAAACGTCCCAAAAGACCATTCTTAGGTTCTACTATTGACGTTATCTTATTGGGGAGCAATTGGGGCAGTCACAAATCTTGTGACCTCTGGCTGCATAACTCCTGAGCAGCAAGGAATCAGAGCAAGGCAAGCTGGGGAAGAAGAGCTGCTGGCTGGCTCTCCTCAGGACACCTACATCTGAGCAGAATTCAGGCCCCTCCCATTGTCCTCATCTTGTGGCCCTTCACTAGCTTTACAGAGGTGGTTTCGGTCCTGAGCAAGGAGGGGATTCGTTTTAGGGAGGGATGATTACTATTCCTGATTCAAAGTTAAACTCTAGATTAAATTCCTCCCATAGTTAACTTGGCCTGTACCCAGGACTGAGTGGGGACAGCCAACCTGTGAGACTAGAAGCGAGGTGGAGTCAGCCACGCAAGTTAAACTCTAGATTAAATTCCTCCTGTGGTTAGCTCGGCCTGTGCCCAGGACTGAGATGGAGTCAGCTGTGCCAGACTTCTCTCACTGTCATCATCTTTGCACAGGTGGTTTCAGCAGCTTGATGCCAAAAAAAAAAAATCAAAAGGTATTCTGAAAAGCCATGTATGAGTGAATCGTACTTGACTTGGCCTCCTTTGACTGAACAGCCATGCCCTGAGTCGTCCTTGGGGATCCAAGTGCATGTGTGTGGTTTGAAGCAGAGCTTCCCAGCCAGACCCAGCGGGAAAGGCTGGGACGGCCACACAGGAACCTGGGCTGGGCGCCAACTGCTCCCCCCAGACCTGGGTGGGACGTGCCCGCCACACATACCCTGCTGGCGAAGGGGAAGCTTCTGAGAGTGACAGGAAGTGGCCCAGCCCGAGATTCAGCCCTGGGATCTCTGTGGCCAGCAACTGTGGGGGGGCATGTGGACATCTGCTTCCATTTTCCCCAAACCTCGTGAGATTCTGTTCCCTGGTCTGCCCCTGGCATTTCTTCCTCGGGCCCAGAGCCCTCTCCGTGGGGCTCCCTATTAACCTGAATGGAGGGCCAGTCCACTATCCCAGGACTTCATCATCATGGCCACAGGCCAGGACAGCTCTGCTCAGGGCTGGCTCTCAGCTGCACCCTCCATGTACCCTGCTTTGTCCTTCATGTCTCCAGGCGCCTCACACCAGCCCCAAGGATACCCACCTCCCAGGTCTCCCTCCTCCCTCCACCCAAATCCCAGGGGAGTACTACTGCTGTGGCCCATGTGGCTCCATAAGCCCCCTTGGTGCTGTGCCTGCTCAGGGTCCACAGGCCCTCCCTCCTCTTCCTCCTCCCCCAGCTCTGGGCTCCATCTGGGTGCCCCTCCCCTGTGGGCTTTAATCCAGCCCTGTCTCCAGGAGGACATGGTAAATGTGGGTCTTCCCGAGTCACCAGCAGTTGCACCTCCCTTCCCCTGTGCCTTCATACCTCTTCTCCACTCCCTGTGCTGCCTGTGCACCAAAGCTCTACCCACAGTGTTCAGTAAAATCAGGGGCCACTGGAGGCCCCGCCCTCTAACTGGGGCACTGCCCCTCCTAGGGGTTGGGCCTGGGGTGTGGACTGTGCCCTTGCCTCGTCCCTCTTAGGGCAGGGAGGCCACCCCGGCCAGTGCCCCACTACCCCCCAACCTTGCGGCACCCACCCCTCCTCACTTCTTCATAATCCACCCTCCTTGTCCGTTACTCCTGTGGCTGGACAGCTCCATCCTGGGGGCGCTCCCCAGCACAGTGCGGCCGAACAGCACTCCACATTGACTAAAGAGTCTGAAAGGGGCTTGCCTGCTTTCCCTTTTAGATGGAAGGGAGCTGAGGCCGAGTGCCTGTGATTCCTGCGCGGGGGTCTCACAGCAGCCCTGGGGTCCTGCAGCCATGCACCAAGAGCAGCCTGTGGCCCTGGGGTGTCCCTGAAGGGGCAGCTTCCTGTGGGGTCATTCTCTGAGCCGGTTTGAAATTATTCTGACAGGTGACGGCCACCCACGGACTCTGTCACTTGCTGGGCTTCACACACAGCACGGAGGCGGAGTGGCAACAGGTAAGGAGCCCATCCTCCCGCTACCCAGGGGGTGTGTGGGGGAAGGAGGCTGCCCCAGGCCCCTGCCAGCCCCCACCCTCCATCCTGACCACCCCCGCAGAAACTGGACCTCAGACCTGCCCTTGGAAAAATGACTCAGATGCTTGCTTTCAACACAGGGCTCCCCAGATACTTCCAGCTGAATGTGTTCACTAAGAAAAGCGGTCTGTGTGCGAGGCCGAGAGCCACAGCTGACACTAGCAAGTGGTGCTTGGTCAAAAACGTCCAGTCAGCTAGAGACTAGGCCAGACCCGGGGCCGGGGCGGGAGCTCTGCACTAAGTGAATTCAAGGTTGGTTTCCCCCAGGCCCAGGCGCTCTGTCTACAGAGGCCCACGCAGGCTGCGGTCCACGTGGTTAACACGCACACAATCCTGTTGGCGAGCAAACCATCCGCTTCTGTGAAAGTCATGAAAAACCTTTTTCATTAAAAAAAGAAAAAGTTCGCTGGGGGCAGTGGCTCACGCCGGTAATCCCAGCACTTTGGGAGGCCGAGGAGGGTGGATCACTTGAGGTCAGGAGTTCGGGATCAGCCTGGCCAACATGGTGAAACCCTGTCTCTACTAAAAATACAATAATTAGCCGGGCGTGGTGGCGGGCGCCTGTAATCCCAGCTACTCGGGAGGCTGAGGCAGGAGAATCGCTTGAACCCGGAGGTGGAGCTTGCAGTGAGCGCTCCTCCCCCTCCCCCCTTCCCCCTCCCGCGCTCCCCTTCCCTCTCGCAGCCCCGCTTCTCCCAGCCTGTGGGCACTCGCTGAGCTCAGGTCCTGGTTAAGATGCCAGGAGGCGGGTCCCGCCCTTCGGCCTGAGCTAGAGCCGCGCGGGCGGCCAGGTTCCCCCAAACCCTGTGGGAGGGGCGTCCCGAGGAGGCGACCCCTGAGAGTGGGGCGCGGACCCCTTCCCTGGGGAGGGCCCAGCGCGCTTCGTTCCTTCCAGATGTTCCAGAAGGAGAAGGCGGTGCTGGACGAGCTGGGCCGACGCACTGGGACCCGGCTGCAGCCCCTGACCCGGGACCTCTTCGGAGGGAGCTGAAAGCAGGACGGGGCAGGGGTGGGGGCTGCGGGGAGCCGGGGTCCCACACAGATAAATAACAAATGAATATACGGGGGGAACTTCCTCTCATTTCTTTCACAGCACGTCGGGTATTTTTCATAATTGTAAATAAGACGGTTCCGAGCCGTGGCATCGAGAGGGCGTCCGGAGTTCCGGGAACGCGTGGCCCCCGCCTGGGAGCACCACGCAGCGCTCGCCTCTTACCCGTCCCTGCCCGGAGCCTGCGCCCTTCCCGGGGGTCCCTGCCCGGAGCCTGCGCCCTTCCCGGGGGTCCCTGCCCGGAGCCTGCGCCCTTCCCGGGGGTCCCTGCCCGGAGCCTGCGCCCTTCCCGGGGGTCCCTGCCCGGAGCCTGCGCCCTTCCCGGGGGTCCCTGCCCGGAGCCTGCGCCCTTCCCGGGGGTCCCTGCCCGGAGCCTGCGCCCTTCCCGGGGGTCCCTGCCCGGAGCCTGCGCCCTTCCCGGGGGTCCCTGCCCGGAGCCTGCGCCCTTCCCGGGGGTCCCTGCCCGGAGCCTGCGCCCTTCCCGGGGGTCCCTGCCCGGAGCCTGCGTCCTTCCCGGGGGTCCCTGCCCGGAGCCTGCGTCCTTCCCGGGGGTCCCTGCCCGGAGCCTGCGCCCCCGGAGAGGAAGGGGCTCGAGGGGTTTGGGTCCCGCAGCCCGTCCTTCCATAGAAAAGGCTCTTGCGTCAGTATTTCCTGCTTTACCTCCTGAGTATTCGGATATTCGAGTAAACCCTGGCGTTTCAGCACCAGCGCACGCGGCTTCATCAGGGCAGCGCGTCGCAAGGGCGCTGGTTCCCCCGGGCCTCCCGACCCGGCCCCCTGGCCACCGACACTGCTCTAGCCGGGCCATGGGGAGGCCTCGGAGCAGCACCTCAGAGACCCTCGTGAGCCCTAAAATCTGGGGCTACTATTCTGATCATCTGTTTGTCCTGTAAAATGATTTAGGGTCATGAAAATGCCTTTCCACTGGACTTGCGTCCTGTCTTAGCCTGGACTTGTCCCCTTAGGAACACAGGCCAGGCCCCTCTGTTCCTGAAGTCGCTGCACCACCGCGCCCTTCCATGGAGAGCGTTCTGTTTACCGTGGAACTAGCTTAATGTCGAAAAAGTACTGGTGAAAATAGAAAACAGAGTCAGCTTTAATCCAAGCTTGTAACAAGAGCACACAGTTGGGATTCACATTCAAAAGCCCTTAAGAGACTGAGAGGCCTGGAGACCTGCCAGCTGTGGGCGGGATTTTGGAGGTTCCTGTTTACTGTTAGAACCCAGCCCCAGGAGCCTCTGTTCACATCCTGGGGCGCTCAGGGCTTCTTGGGAATTCCTGGGGGCTGAGGACGTGGGGGTCTGGCTTTACTGGGTAGTGCCCAGACACGACTGCAGAGCTGGGCCACTAGTGCCCCCAGCAGCCCATAGCCAGTGACCCTGGGGCCCAGACCCAGCCTGGGTGGTCCCAGCCCTCTGGTGGACAGGGTCTCTGATGTGTGCTGGGGCTGCCATGTGTCCCACCGTCAATGAGGCTATCTCTTCATCTATTTTTTCTTTTTTCTTTTTTCTTTTTTTTTTTTTTTTGGAGACAGAGTCTTGCTCTGTCGCCCAGGCTGGAGTGCAGTGGCCGGATCTAAGCTCACTGCAAGCTCCGCCTCTCAGGTTTAGGCCATTCTCCTGCCTTAGCCTCCCGAGTAGCTGGGACTACAGGCGCCCGCCACCTCGCCCGGCTAGTTTTTTGTATTTTTTAGTAGAGATGGGGTTTCACCGTGCTAGCCAGGATGGTCTCGATCTCCTGACCTCGTGATCTGCCCGTCTCGGCCTCCCAAAGTGCTGGGATTACAGGCTTGAGCCACCGCACCCGGCCTTTCTTTTTTTGAGACATAGTCTTACTCTGTCGCCCAGGCTGGAGTGTAGTGGCATGATTTCTGACTGCAACCTCTGCCTCCCAGGTTCAAACGATTCTCCTGCCTCAGCCTCCCGAGTAGCTGGGACTACAGGCGTGTACCACCACGCCCAGCAAACTTTTTGTTGTTGTTGTATTTTTAGTAGAGACAGGGTTTCACTATGTTGGCCAGGATGGTCTTGATCTCCTGACCTCATGACCCACCTGCCTCAGCCTCCCAAAGTGCTGGGATTACAGGCGTGAGCCACTGCACCCGGCCTCTCTCTTCATCCCCTCTGCTGTAAGGGACTGCTTGTGTCTTCTGCCCTTTTTACTGGTTTTTCTTTTTTTTGATTTGGAGGTATTACTGGTTGGAAGTATTTATATGTATTATTGAACACAACCCTGGTTTTTTTAGTTTTGTTTTGTTTTTGAGACAGAGTCTCGCTCTGTTGCCCAGGCTGGAGTGCAGTGGCATGATTTCAGCTGACTGCAACTTCTGCCTCCTGGGTTCATGCTATTCTCCTGCCTCAGCCTCCCGAGTAGCTGGGACTACAGGTGCCCGCCACCACGTCTGGCTAATATTTTTGTATTTTTAGTAGAGACAGGGTTTCACCGTGTTATCTAGGATGGTCTCCATCTCCTGACCTCGTGATCCGCCTACCTTGGCCTCCCAAAGTGCTGGGATTATAGGCGTGAGCCACCGTGCTTGGCCTGTTTTGTTTTTGAGATAGAGTCTTGCTTTGTTGCCCAGGCTGGAGTGCAGAGGTGCAATCTCAGCTCATTGTACCCTCTGCCTCCTGGGCTCAAGCCATTCTCCTGCCTCAGCCTCCCAAGCAGCTGGGACTATAAGTGTGCACCACTATGCCCGGCTAATTTTTGTGTTTTTGTAGAGACAGGGTTTCTCTGTGTTGACCAGGCTAGGCTTGAACTCCTGACCTCAAGTAATCTGCCCACCTCAGCCTCCCAAAGTGCTGGGATTACAGGTGTGAGCCACCACACCGTGCCCAGCTCAATCATGTTTTTTTTTTTTTTTTGGAGTGATTCTCCTGCCTCAGCCTCCCAGGTAGCTTGTACTACAGGTGTGTGCCACCACGCCTGGCTAATTTTTGTATTTTTTAGTAGAGACAGGGTTTCACTATGTTGGCCAGGCTGGGCTCAAATTCCTGAACTCAAGTGATCGATCCACCTGGGCCTCCCAAAGCGCTGGCATTATAGGTGTGAGCCACCGTGCCTGGCCCCAACCCTTTCTTTCTTTAGGGAATGTGAGCAAATGCCCTACTGACCTAAACCTGAGGAAGAGCCGCCCGTGGCCCAGGCAGCAGTAGCATCACCTCTTACCCATGCAGGGCAGTGTCCTACTCTAGGAACTTGGGAGTTGGGAGTGGGGGCTCACGGGTCACCACTGCCCAGCCTGTCCCCAGTCACACTGTCCTGATTCTGGACCCTCTTGCAAGCCACAGGATCATCAGAGCAGGTCCCTCCTCATCCTTCTGCTCCCGGAGTCACCCAGCCCTTCACCTTCTGTATGTGTCCCAGATTCAGCTCCTTGCGTGCCAGAAAGAATCTGGATTCTTGACTGGAGTCGCATTAAATCTGCAGATCTGCTGGCCCCGTGGGGGCTCTGACCCACGCGTATGTGCTGCCTTGGTCCCTGGGTCATCTTCAACCTCTCTCAATGAGTGTCACCCACCTTATCAGGTGTACAGGTGTGTACAGTATGCCCTGAACCCCCACCTACCACCCCCCGCCCCGCTCTCCTGACCACAGGCAAGGAGGTGTGGCCATGAGAAGCCCCCACTCCTAACTACCAGGTACCAGGCACCCAGACCCCCAAACCCCTGCCAAGCAGCCCAAGTCCACTTTCAGGGCCTGCTCTGAGCTCTTCAGCCCACCCAGGGGGACCAAGGTGGACGAAGGGGGGACTGCATATGGGGGTGAACTCATCCCCTGCCCCACCCTCAGGTGTGACCCCACCCCTCCTGCAGGCCAGTCAAGGCTAAGCCAGCCCAGCTGTGCCCTAACCGGACACTCGGGACGCCAGAGCCCTTCATCCCTGTGAACCCAGCAAGACCAGGCCATCCAAAGACCACCACTTCCTGTGACATTTCTTCCCTCTGTTGTATGAAAAATTCGGTTGAGAAATATTTAATAGAAGGAAAGAGAAATGCCATGCTAGAAAAGTCACTCTGAAAAGAGGAAACGGAGTCAGAGCTTTGGTTTGAGTTTTTAACGGGAGCACAGAGTCTCCGGAATCACCTTCAAGAGGCAGGAAAAGATGGTTTTGAGAGAAGTGAGTGTTACTGCCAGTAGCTGTGCTGGGCTTTTTGGTGCTCACACCCGTCCATCCATGTGGGCACCACGTGGCTCTCCCTGGGGAGCTCTGAGGCCGGGTCAGCCAGAGCGGAGGCCCCTGCAGCTCAGTGGCAACTCTGGCCATCCTGTCTCCTACCTGCAAACTTTCAAGGATGGAAGCACGGGGACAGGGTTCCTCCTTGTGCGGAACTTCAGGAATGAAGGAATCTGTGCTAATGGGAGGTGAATGAAAGCTTATATAAATACTTAAAAATATGTAAATAACGGCCGGGCGCGGTGGCTCAAGCCTGTAATCCCAGCACTTTGGGAGGCCGAGGCGGGTGGATCACGAGGTCAGGAGATCGAGACTATCCTGGCTAACATGGTGAAACCCCGTCTCTACTAAAAATACAAAAAACTAGCCGGGCGAGGTGGCGGGCGCCTGTAGTCCCAGCTACTTGGGAGGCTGAGGCGGGAGAATGGCGTGAACCCAGGAGACGGAGCTTGCAGTGAGCCGAGATCAGGCCACTGCACTCCAGCCTGGGAGACACAGCAAGACTCCGTCTTAAAAAAAAAAAAAAAAAAAAAAGTAAATAACATTAAAAGAGCAAAGAAACATAATTGCACCCAATAAAAAAAGTAACAAAAAAAGTAAAGAAAAGAAATAGTCAAGGTAGCCTATCCACATGGTAAGAAATCCCAGAGCACAGAAGGAAACTGAACTGAGGACAGGAAGCCGCCCCTCCACTGCCCAGCACTCACCTTTGCTTTACAGGAACGAGAGCGGTGCAAACCAGCACGTAGAGATCTCTGCATTTACAGCATTAGCACTCTCCGTTTGTTTGCTTTTTAAACTCAAAAGGGATCACGTGACACACAGCTTGCTTCTTTCACTTTTTTATTTTATTTTTTGAGACAGGGGCTTGCTCTGTGGTCCAGGCTAGAGTGCAGTGGTTCCATCACAGCTCACTGCAGCTTCTAACTCCTGGGCTCAAGCAATCCTTCCATCTCAGCCCCCAGAACCGCTGAGATCACAGGTGCATATCACCACACCTGACTAGTTTTTTTAATTTACTTTTTGTAGAGACAGGGTCTTGTTATGTGACCCAGGCTGGTCTTGAATTCCTGAGCTCAAGTGATCCTCCTGCCTCAGCCTCTGAAATGCTGGGACTACAGGCATTGAACCATGCACTGCTACTTCTTTAGTGGGAGTCTGCTCCACAGCTGTGATAAACGGGTGTCCCTAGTTACTAAATTTGACTTTGTGGTATTTTTCCCATCAGGATGTTTACATTCCATGTGGCTAAAGCTATTGATCTTCCCGATTCTGGCTTCTGAGCTGAGGTTTTCTTAAACTCTTTCCGGATGAAATCTTTATTTCAGGATCATCAGTGTGGTAGTGTCCACGGCCTCAACTTTACCTCCGTGATGGAAGAGGGGGACCTGAGGCTCCCAGGTGGGCCGGCGCCACACTACAGGAAAGGAAGGGTCCCTGGGAGGGGCTGCTGCCCTGCGCGGGTTCACAGGCCCCTCACTGCAGGGGTCCCAGAGCAAGGGATGCCCCCTGGAATGGCCCTGTGGCCAGAAAGCGAGCCTGCCCAGCTTCCCCCGGAGGGGCCTGCGGTCCACACTCACGTGGCCACTCTAGGGGGCAGCAGGGTCTCCCCCTGCTCCTTTCCATGGACCCGCCACAGCCCACAGCCCTGAGGAAGCCTGGGGGTGGAGGGTGCCCCGGCCAGGGTCTCTGTGACTCACACTCAGGGTGGGCCGGGCTTCCACGGGTTGGGGGCGGGCTGGAGGACAGTGGCGGCCCCAGGTGGCCACGCAGCATGGTGGTGGTGGTGGTGGTGCACGACCGGCAGCCTTGGCCTGGCAGCTCGTGGGACCCCCGGGGGCACACATGGCGGGTCCTGCCACAGACACACCTGCAGCTCAGGATGCGGCCCAGGTTGCTCCCCACCTCCACTCCTGCCCTGTTCCTAACTGGGGCTGGGTTCCGTGTGATAGGCAGGATGGCAGGGGTCTAAGCATCCTTCCAGAGGAGGCCCCTCCCCAGTCCCAAATTGTGCAACCCATTCCTCATCTGGCTGGGACTCGATGGGGATGGGGGCTTCACAGCCAGACTGCAGACCTGAGCCAGGAACGCCCTTTCAGAGCTACACAGATGCAGAAATTTCCAGAGGAAAAACCACTCAGACCCTGTGTTTCCTTGACTTTGGGGTCTGCTAGGGGCTGAACCTACCTGCAGGGCTGGGGGCAGGGCCTTGAGCATCCAGTTCTGCAGGACCAACTGGTGCACCTGTGCGTTCTGCAGCAGCAGCAGCTCCACCATGTCTGTAGGGAGACACGGGGACCCTGAAGAAAGCTTCTGTTTCTCATATTTGTTAAAGTGATAGAGCATGTTATAGGACCAGAGAACACGTGTGTCTACACTGTGCAGGTCCCCGGGGCAGGCTTTGAGTGTGTCTGTACACCGTGCGGCTCCCCGGGACAGGCTCTGAGTCTGTCTGTACACCGCGCGGGTCCCCGGGGCGTGCCCTGAGTCTGTCTACACCGTGCGGGTCCCCGGGGTGTGCCCTGAGTCTGTCTACACCGTGCGGGTCCCCGGGGCAGGCCCTGAGTCTGTCTACACCGTGCGGGTCCCCGGGGCAGGCTCTGAGTGTGTCTGTACACCGTGCGGGTCCCCGGGGCGTGCCCTGAGTCTGTCTACACCGCGCGGGTCCCAGGGGCAGGCTCTGAGTGTGTCTGTACACGGTGTGGCTCCCCGGGGCGTGCCCTGAGTGTGTCTGTACACCGTGCGGGTCCCCGGGGCAGGCTCTGAGTGTGTCTGTACACCGTGCGGGTCCCCGGGGCGTGCCCTGAGTCTGTCTACACCGTGCGGGTCCCCGGGGCAGGCTCTGAGTGTGTCTGTACACCGTGCGGGTCCCCGGGGCAGGCCCTGAGTGTGTCTGTACACCGTGCGGGTCCCCGGGGCAGGCCCTGAGTGTGTCTGTACACCGCGCGGGTCCCCGGGGCAGGCTCTGAGTCTGTCTGTACACCGTGCGGCTCCCCCGGGTGTACTCTGAGTTGTGGAATCTCTAGGTCAGAGGGTGTGCATGTTGAAAGGTGTGTGATGGGCCCCACAGCTCCTTAGGAGGCTACTCCCATCTGCCTTCCCGCCTCCTCCCCCCAGGCTGCGTGGGGACCCCAGAAAGGCATGTCCATGTCTCAGTCTCCCCTCACCTCAGAGTGTGACCTTATTTGGAAAAAGAGTCTTTGCAGATGTCATTAAGGATCATGAGATGGGCCGGGCGCAGTGACTCACGCCTGTAATCCCAGCACATTGGGAGGCCAAGGTGGGTGGGTCACCTGAGGTCAGGAGTTCGACACCAGCCTAGCCAACATGGCAAAACCCTGTCTCTACTAAAAATACAAAAATTAGCCAGACACGGTGCCTCACACCTGTAATCCCAGCACTTTGGGAGGTCGAGGCAGGTGGATCACCTGAGGTCAGCAGTTTGAGACCAGCCTGGTCAGCATGGCAAAACCCCATCTCTACTAAAAATACAAAAATTAGCAGGGCGTGGTGGTGGGCATCTGTAATCTCAGCTAGCTGGGAGGCTGAGGCAAGAGAATTGCTTGAACCCAAGCGGCAGAGGTTGCAGTGAGCTAAGATGGCGACAGTGCACGCCAGCCTGGACAACAGAGCGAGACTCCGTCTCAAAAGAAAAAAAGCGGCAGGGCGCGGTGGCTCACGCCTGTAATCCCAGCACTTTGGGAGGCCAAGGCAGGTGGATCACGAGGTCAGGAGATCAAGACCATCCTGGCTAACATGGTGAAACCCCGTCTCTACTAAAAACACAAAAATTAGCTGGGCGTGGTGACAGGCGCTGGTAGTCCCAGCTACTCGGGAGGCTGAGGCAGGAGAATGGCATGAACCTGGGAGGCAGAGCTTGCAGTGAGCTGAGATCGCGCCACTGCACTCCAGCCTGGGTGACAGAGTGAGACTCCGTCTCAAAAAAAAAAAGAAAAAAGAAAAAAGGCCTGGTGCAGTGGCTCAGGCCTATAATCCCAGCCCTTTGAGAGGCCCAGTTGGGTGGACCACCTGTGGTCAGGAGTTCGAGACAAGCAAAACCCTGTCTCTACTAAAAATACAAAAATTAGCCAGGCGTGGTGGCTCAAGCCTGTAATGCCAGCTACTTGGGAGTAGCTGAGGCAGAATTGCTTGAACCCGTGAGGCAGAGGTTGCAGTGAGCTAAGATCGTGCCACTGCACTCTAGCCTGGACGAGATTGAAACTCCATCTCAAAAAAAAAAAAAAACACTAAAACATCTAAGCCAGTTGTCGTGGTGCACGCCTGTAGTCCCAGCTACTCAGGAGGCTGAGGTAGGAGGATCGCTTGAGCCCAGGAGTTCAAGGCTGCAGGGAGCCGTGATCATGCATGCCCCTGAACTCTAGCCTGGGTAGCCTGGGTAACAGCGAGATACTATCTCCCCAAAAAATAAATAATAAAATGTGTTCATCCACAGACACCATGAAGAGACTGAAAAGGCAACCACAAGAAAGATGGAATACTCAAAATACATGTATCAAAAAAGGACTCATTAAAGAACTTATAAAGAATCCCTAGAAACCAATAAGGCAGGCAGACAGTCTGAAAGAAAAATGGGCAAATTACTTAAATGGACACTTCACAAAAAAGGATATTCAAGTAGCCAAGGCCAGGCATGGTGGCTCATGCCTGTGATGCCCGCACTTTGGGAGACCGAGACGGGGGAAGTCCTTGAGACCAGGAGCTGACGCCAGTCTGGGCAACCTGGCAAGACCTCATCTCTACACAATTTTTTTTTTTTTTTTTTTGAGATGGAGTCTTGCTTTGTTGCCCAGGCTGGAGTGCAGTGACACGATCTCGGCTCACTGCAAGCTCCGCCTCCCAGGTTGATGCCATTCTCCTGCCTCGGCCTCCTGAGTAGCTGGGACTACAGGCACCTGCCACCACACCCAGCTAATTTTTTGTATTTTTAGTAGAGACGGGGTTTCACCGTGTTAGCCGGGATGGTCTCGATCTCCTGACCTCGTGATCCGCCCACCTCGGCCTCCCAAAGTGCTGGGGGTTTTTTTGTTGTCTGTTTTTTTCGAGGCGGAGTCCCGCTCCGTCACCCAGGCTGGAGTGCAGTGGCACGATCTCCGCTCACTGCAAGCTCCACCTCTCAGGTTCACGCCATTCTCCTGCCTCAGCCCCCTGAGTAGCTGGGACTATAGGCACCCACCACCACGCCCAGCTACACCTCGGCCTCATAAAGTGCTGGGATTACAGGCGTGAGCCACCGCGCCCGGCTACACAAAATTTGTTTAATTAGCTGAATGTGCCTGTAGTCCCAGCTACTCAGGAGGCTGAGGTGGGAAGAATGCTTGAGCCCAGAAGTTGGAGGCTGCAGTGAGGTATGATCACACCACTGCACTCCAGCCTGGGCAATGGAGTGAGACCCTATCTCTTACAAAAAAAACCTCAAAAAACAAAAACAACTGGCCAATAAATATAGGAAAAAGTGAAATGCAAATTAAACCAGAATGAACTTCTATAACATGCCCACCAAGCTGCCAAAAATGAAAAGTCTGAAAATACCAAGTGTTGGTGAAGTGCTCTGGCGACTGAAATTCTCATTCATGTATGTGGAGTGTAAATGGGCACAAACCTTTTGGGAGACTGCACGGCTGTATTTCCTGACCCAGCCGTTTCAGTCCTAGGCATGCGTTCCATTAGAGGGCAAAAAGGCCTGTGCAGATGTAAGCTGGGAATCCTGAGCGGGGACAGAAGCAACCCACGTGTCCATGAGTGGATAAATGGATGCAGAAACGGTCTAGCCATGCAATGGACTATTACTCATCTGCGACCTGCTGTCATGTGGGTGAACCTTGAGGACATCATACTAAGTGAAATAAGCCAGTCACAAAGACAAATACTGTGTGACTCCACTCATATGACACATGGAACACAGTTGAACTCAGAAACAGAACACAGGACGGTGGTTGCCAGGCAGTGGCGGGGGCGGGGGGTGATGTAGTCCGATGGGCGGAGTTTGAGATTTGCAAGATAAAAATGTTCTGCGGCACAGCAGTGACTATAGTTAACACTACTGAACTTTGCACTTAATAAGTGGTCGCAATGGTAAAGTTACATGTTTTTTTGTTTTTTTTTAAATTACAAATTAATCTTTTTTTTTTTTTTTTTGAGACAGGGTCTCACTCTGTTGCCCAAGCTGGGGCGCCCTGGTGTGAACACAGCTCACTGCAGCATGGACCTCCTGGGCTCAAGGGATCTTCCCATCTCATCCTCCCAAGTAGCTGGGACCACAGGCACATGCCACCATACCCAATTAATTTTGATATGTTTTGTAGAGACGAAGTTTCAATATGTTGCCCAGGCTGGTCTTGAACTCATAGGCTCAGGTGATCCACCCGCCTCAGTCTCCCAAAGTGCTGGGATTACAGATATGAGCCACTGTGCCATGCTGTAAATTAACTTTTAAAAAAAGAATCTTGAGTGCTGGGTGCTGTAATCCCAGCTACTTGGGAGGCTGAGGTGGGAGATTGCTTGAAGCCAGGGGTTTTGGACCTGCCTAGGTGATATAGCAATGCTGTGACTCAGAAAAAAATAAGACTCATGAGATGGGAACATAATCCTGGATTATCTGGGCATGGCCAGTGCAATCACAGAGTCCTTAGAAAGTGGTGAGAGAAAATGACTATCAATCTAGATTTGAATACGCAGCAAACTTGCATTTAAAAGTAAGGGTAGGGCCGGGCACGGTGGCTCACGCCTGTAATCCCAGCACTTTGGGAGGCTGAGGCAGGTGGATCATGAGGTCAAGAGATCGAGACCATCCTGGCCAACATGGTGAAACCCCATCTCTACTAAAAATACAAAAATTAGCCAGGTGTGGTGGCTCATGCCTGTAGTCCCAGCTACTCGGGAGGCTGAGGCAGGAGAACTGCTTGAGAGGTGGAGGTTGCAGTGAGCTAAGATCGCACCACTGCACCCCAGCCTGGCGACAGAGCGATATTCCCATGTCAAAAAAATATAAATATTTTACAAATTACTTTAGAACAGTTATTAGGCAAACTCCCTCAGTATTTACTTTCTTGCGAATGTATTTCCATTTATTTATTTATTTATTTATTTATTTAGAGACAAGGTTTCACTCTGTTGCCCAGACTGCAGTACAGCAGCACAATCACAGCTCACTGCAGGCTCCACATCCTGGGTTCAAGCGATCCTTCCACCTCAGCCTCCCAAGTAGCTGGGACTACAGGCATGCACCCGACACTTGGCTAATTTTTGTATTTTTTGTAGAGATGGGGTTTCACCATGTTGCCCAGGCTGGTCTGAAACTCCTGAGCTCAAGCAATCCTCCCATCTCAGCCTCCCAAAATACTGGGATTACAGGCGTGAGCCGCTGCGCCTGGCCTCCCCTTATTTTTTATTTTATTTTATTTTATTTTTTTGAGACAGAGTCTTGGTCTGTCACCCAGGCTGGAGTGCAGTGGCGTGATCTCAGCTCACTGCAACCTCTGCCTCCCGGGCTCAAGCAATTCTCCTGCCTCAGCCTCCCAAGTAACTGGGACTACAGGCAGCCACCACCACACCCGGCTAATTTTTGTATTTTTAGTAGAGATGGGGTTTCACCATGTTGGCCAGGCTGGTCTTGAACTCCGTGGCTCACGCCTGTAATCCTAGCACTTTGGGAAGCTGAGGTGTGTGGATCACCTGAGGTCAGGAGTTTGAGACCAGCCTGGCCAAAATGGCGAAATCCCATCTCTACTAAAAATGCAAAAATTAACCGTGGGCTGGGCGTGGTGGCTCATGCCTATAACCCCAGTACTTTGGGAGGCCGAGGCAGGAGGATCACCTGAGGTGAGGAATTTGATACCAGCCTGATCAACATGGTGAAACCCCGTCTCTACTAAAAACTACAAAAATTAGCTGGGCGTGGTGGCAGGCAGCTGTAATCCCAGCTGCTTGGGAGGCTGAGGCAGGAGAATTGCTTGAACCCAGGAGGCGGAACTTGCAGTGAGCCTAGATGGCGCCACTGCACCAGCCTGGGCGACAGAGCAAGACTCCCTCTCAAAAAAAAAAAAAAAAAAAAAAGCCCGGCGTGGTGGCGGGCACCTGTAATCCTACCTACTCAGGAGGCTGAGGCAGGAGAATCGCTTGAACCTGATGGGCAGAGGTTGAAGTGAGCCAAGATTGTGCCAGCTCACTCCAGCCTGGGCAAAAGAACAAGACTCTGGGCTGGGTGCGGTGGCTTACGCCTGTAATCCCAGCACTTTGGGAGGCCGAAACAGGTGGATCACGAAGTCAGGAGATCGAGACCATCCAGGCCAACACGGTGAAACCCCGTCTCTACTAAAAATTAGCCAGGAGTAGTGGCGGGCACCTGTAGTCCTAGCTACTCGGGAGGCTGAGGCAGAAGAATGGCGAGAACCCAGGAGGCAGAGCTTGCAGTGAGCCGAGATCGTGCCACTGCACTCCAGCCTGGGAGACTGAGCAAGATTCTGTCAAAAAAAAAAAAAAAAAAAAACAAGACTGTCTCAAAAAAAAAAAATTACTCAGTTTCAGATATTCTAAGCAACAGAAAATGGACTAAGACATGGACTAAGACATCCACCAACAGGTGAATGGATAACAAACTGATATATTCACACAATGCAATACTACTCCGCAATTAGAAGGAACCATGTATTGATACACCCAATGATAGTGATGAATCTTAAAACAGTTACGCCGAGAGAAGCCATACATAAAAGAGTACATACTGTGTAGACCGTTTCTATAAATATCTAGAAAATGCAGGCCGGGCACGGTGACTCACGCCTGTAATCCCAGCACTTTGGGAGGCCGAGGCGGGTGGATCACAAGATCAGGAGTTCAAGACCAGCCCTGCCAAGATGGTGAAACCCCATCTCTACTAAAAATACAAAAAATTAGCCAGGTGTGGTGGCACACACCTGTAATCCCAGCTACTCCGGAGGCTGAGGCAGAGAACTGCTTAAACCTGGAGGGATGGAGGTTGCAGTGAGCCGGGATCGCAACACTGCACTCCAGCCTGGGCCACAGAGAGAGACTCTGTTTCAAAAAAAAAAAAAAAAAAATCTAGAAAATGCAAACTACGGCCGGGCGCGGTGGCTCAAGCCTGTAATCCCAGCACTTTGGGAGGACGAGACGGGTGGATCACGAGGTCAGGAGATCGAGACCATCCTGGCTAACACAGTGAAACCCCGTCTCTACTAAAAAATACAAAAAAACTAGCCGGGCGAGGTGGTGGGCGCCTGTAGTCCCAGCTACTCGGGAGGCTGAGGCAGGAGAATGGCCTGAACCCGGGAGGCGGAGCTTGCAGTGAGCTGAGATCCGGCCACTGCACTCCAGCAAGGGGGACAGAGTGAGACTCCGTCTCAAAAAAAAAAAAAAAAAAAAAAAGAAAATGCAAACTACTACATAGTGACAGAAAGCTGCTCAGCAGTTGCGTGGGGGTGTAGGAGGAGGGATTAAAAAGAAACACGAGGACACTTTGGAGGTGATGGATGTGCCCAGTCTGGATTGCAGTGATAGTTTCATGGATATAAGCATATGTTAAAACTTATCAAGCCGGGCATGGTGGCTCACGCCTGTAATCCCAGCTTTTTGGGAGGCCAAGGCCAGTGGACTGCCTGAGGTCAGGAGTTCAAGACCAGCCTGGCCAACATAGTGAAGCCCTGTCTCTACTAAAAATACACAAAAATAGCTGGGCATGGTGGTGGGCGCCTGTAATCCCAGCTACTCGAGAGGCTGAGGCAGGAGAATTGCTTGAACCCAGGAGGTAGAGGTTGCAGTGAGCCAAGATTGTGCCACTGCACTCCAACCTGGGCAACAAGAGCGAGACTCTGTCTCAGAACAAAGAAACAAAACAAAACTTGTGAAACTGGGCTGGGTGTAGTGGCAAACGCCTGCAATCCCAGCACTTGGAGAGGCTGAGGTGGACAGATCACCAGAGGCTGGGAGTTCGAGACCAGCCTGGCCAAAATGGCGAAACCCATCTCTACTGAAAATACAAAAATTAGCAAAGCATGGTGGTGCACGCCTGCAGTTCCAGCCACTTGGGAGGCTGAGGCAGGAGAAATCACTTGAACCCGGGAGGCAGAGGTTGCGGTGAGCTGAGATCGTGCCATTGTACTCCAGCCTGGGCAACAAAGTGAGACTCTCTAAATAAATAAATAAATAAATAAATAAATAAATAAATAATAATATCAAGTATTTAAAGTTATTATTATTATTTTTGAGACAGAGTCTCGCTCTGTTGCCCAGGCTGGAGTGAAGTGGCACGTTCTCGGCTGACTGCAACCTCTGCCTCCCGGGTTCAAGCAATTTCTCCTGCCTCAGCCTCCTGAGTAGCTGGGATCACAGGCACCATCACCACGGTTGGTTGATTTTTGTATTTTTAGTAGAGATGGGGTTTCACCATGTGGGCCAGGCTGGTCTCGAACTCCTTACCTCAGGTAATCCACCCACCTCAGCCTCCCAGTGTTGGGATTACAGGAATGAGCCACCGAGCCCGGCCCTAAAAGTTATTTTAAAAGAAACATCTTAATAATGGTTTTTGAATAGATGATAATTGGATGAGTTGGAATTGGAGCCCAATTATTTTACCTCCTAGTTCAGTTATCTTTCTTATACTTCTTGTTTCCTTCCCTATATCATTTATATAAGGATTTCTTAAAGTTAAAATTATTTTCATGTTGAGCAGCCAAAAGCTGACCCTAAGTGACTGTCCTGCTTCCAGAAACATTTTCCCTTTCAGTAATTTCCTCAACCCACAACAATATGAATATGGAACACTTACCTTCCTTAATACTTCCTGACCGTTGAGTAGGGAAGGCCTGGGGAGGAGGAATCTGTGCTATGAGTGGCTGCTGAGGGAGCTGCTGAATGATGGTGGCAGGAGGCTGGGTGACCTAGGAACAGCCAGGTGATTAGCTATATGCATGTGTCTTTGAATAAAGTGTCTCCAGTATCTACTACCCAACCATCCACCCATCCATCCAACCAGCCAACCAACCACTCATCCACCCACCCATCCATCCAACGATCCAACCACCCATCCAACCAACCAACCATCCACTCATCCATCCAACCAGCCAACCAACCAATCATCCACCCACCCATCCATCCAAACAACGATCCACCCACCCATCCAACCAACCAACCATCCATCCATCCACCCAACCAACCATCCACCCACCCATCCACCCACCCACCCATCCAACCAACCAACCATCCACCCACCCATCCACCCACCCATCCATCCACCCACCCACCCATCCAACCAACCATCCACCCACCCATCCACCCACCCATCCACCCACCCATCCATCCACCCACCCACCCATCCAACCAACCAACCATCCACCCACCCATCCACCCACCCATCCATCCACCCACCCATCCATCCACCCATCCATCCATCCAACCAGCCAACTAACCATTCATCCACCCACCCATCCATCCAACCAATGATTCACCCACCCATTCAACCAACCAATCATCCACCCACCCATCCAATCAACCAACCATCCACCCACCCATCCACCCACCCATCCATCCATCCACCCACCCACCCATCCACCCACCCATCCATCTACCCACCCATCCATCCACTCACCCATCCATCCAACCAGCCAACCAACCATTCATCCACCCACCCATCCATCCAACCAATGATCCACCCACCCATTCAACCAACCAACCATCCACCCACCCATCCAACCAACCAACCATCCACCCACCCACCCATCCACCCACCCACCCATCCACCCACCCATCCATCCACCCACCCATCCATCTACCTACCCATCCATCCACCCACCCATCCATCCAAGCAGCCAACCGTCTACCTATACATCCATTCATCTGTCCAAGGAGAGCTTTAAATGATTAACCCCAGACATTGAATAGATGGTTGAATGGAAAGGTACTTCAGTCTTGATATCACTTAGGATGTAGTATTTTTAATGTTTCCCATGTTTCCTGTTTTTAGCAGGGGGCGCTGAAGCCTGGTTCCACTAATTCTGCTTCAATAGGAGCATCCAACACTTGGTATGGTTTCTTTTCTTTTCTTTCTTTCTTTCTTTTTTTTTTTTTGAGACAAAGTCTTGCTCTTGTTGCCCAGGCTGGAGTGCAATGGCGCAATCTCAGCTCACTGCAATCTCTGTCTCCCAGGTTCAAGCAATTCTCCTGCCTCAGCCTCCCGAGTAGCTGAGATTACAGGTGCCTGCCACCATGCCTGGCTAATTTTTGTATTTTTAGAAGAGATGGGGTTTCACCATGTTGGCCAGGCTGGTTTTGAACTCCTGACCTCAGGAGATCCACCTGCCTTGGCCTCCCAAAGTGCTGGGATTACAGGCGTGAGCCACCACGCCCGGCCTGGTCAGTCTTTTTCATTGTAGCCACTTTAATAGCGATACAGTGGTGGCTCACTGTGGCTTTAATTTGCATTTCCCTAATGATGGATGGTGTTGAGCATCTGGGGCAGACCGGTGTGTAGGATGGCTGCATCCTAACAGGCGTTCTCAATTCTGTCCCAGTGACCTCTCTATCCCAGCCCCCATGACAACTTGGTTAATTACTGTACTCCATCATATACTGTAGTACATATATAGAACACGTCATGAGAGTAAACTTTGGTGTCTCCTCTGAGTAAAAATAAATTACAGCCGAATATTCGAGTATGAAAGGCCTTCTGTTTTATCCTCTTCTAGCTGTGCAAGGCTGCCTGGCCTCGTCCCTTCTTCCTCAGTTCACAGAAAGGATGGCAGAGACCAGGAGTTGGCAAACTTTTGCCAAGGGCTAGATCGTAAACGGATTCCAAAGCAGGACACACTGTCAGCTACAGCTCTTGAGTTGGCCATTGCAGTGTGAAAGCAGCTATGGACAATGTGAAAAAAAAAGGGTCTGGCCCAATAAAACTTTATTTATGAACACTAAAATTGGCATTTCATATAATTCTCATATGTTGCAAAATATTATTATTTTATTGGCTTTTCCCCAAGCATTTAAAAATGTAAAACCATTCTCAGCTTGCAGGTTGCATGAGAACAGGAGGCAGGCCAGCTCTGGTCTGAAGCTGTGGTTTGCCAACCCCTGCCACAGACCCATGAGGCTTTCTTAGAGCCACTGTGCCTATCCTGGCTGATGGGACCTTCTGCTTCAGGGGCTCTGTGTCCAGCTGCCAGGAAGCTCATCTTGGTGACCCACGGCCCCTGCTTACCTGCCTGGTGTCACTGGAGCTGAGAGCAAAACCTGCAGGCATAACTGGCCCTGACGGATACACAGTAAGTATAGATGTGTTTGGGATGAGGAAGATGGGGGGTCCACAGCAACGACCCCCCGTACTCCCTTCTGTGCTAGGAGGAAGTTCCTGGTGCTGGAAGACGGGAAGGCACAGGCTGGGAATATCCAGAACCTGGTGAAGGCAACCCATCTGCAGAGGAGGGTCTGGGGCAGGTCCTTTGGAGGCTCCCCTTCCCTTTGTTCCCTCCGCCATGTGCTGCTGCCGGGGTCCCCTCCCAAAGGGCAAACGCCTTCCAGGTCATAGACTCTGCTGCCCTGTCTAGAAATTCCCACCTCAGCCTCTTCTTCTCTCCTACCCTCCCTGCACCCCAGTCACACGAAACCCACCAAAGCCTTGACCTCCAGGCCCCCAGCTTCCGTCCCGCCTCTGGTCACACGAAACCCACCAAAGCCTTGACCTCCGGGCCCCCAGCTTCCGTCCCGCCTCTGGTCACACGAAACCCACCAAAGCCTTGACCTCCGGGCCCCCAGCTTCCGTCCCGCCTCTGGTCACACGAAACCCACCAAAGCCTTGACCTCCGGGCCCCCAGCTTCCGTCCCGCCTCTGGGTGCCTGGTTTCCCTCTGACCCATTTTTTGCTTCAGAAAGCCAGAGTAGTTTTCTGCTGCTTGTCACCCAGAAGGCTGCACAGCTGTAGGAGGCTCTCAGAGGTGGAGCACTATTTACCTTTAACATTCTGCCCTGGACATTGGGGCCTTAGGCATCTCCCGGGCATGATAAAGTTTTTTGTTTTTTTTTTTGAGATGGAGTCTTGTAATCTCTTTCTGGGCTCAAGTGATTCTCCTGCCTCAGCCTCCTGAGTAGCTGGGACTACAGGCGCCTGCCACCACGCCTGGCTAATTTTGGTATTTTTAGTAGAGACAGGATTTCGCCAAGTTGCCCAGGCTGGTCTCAAACTCCTGACCTCAGGTGATCCACCTGCCTCGGCCTCCCAAAGTGCTGGGGTCCATCACACCCAGCCAGGGATAAAGTTTTGAGGAGTTGACCTACTTCCCCAAATTCAGGGCCCTCTGCCTGCTGAGCTCTCCTGATATACTTCTACCCCTAATGCAACATTTAAGGCCAGGGCTGGGGTTTGGGAGACAGAGCTGGGCCCCAGCCTCCCTCTGTGATCAGGGGTAAGCAGTCCGGGGAGGCCCGAACAGTGTCCAGGCAGGGGAAATGCAGGAGCGGCTGGCCCCCTTCAAGGGTGGGTCTTGGGAGGATGGGGGTGACGAGGCAACCTTGCTGCAGGCACAGTACCTCCCACTTTCTGTAAAATATTATTATTATTATTTTTTGAGACGGAGTGTCACTCTGTCGCCCAGGCTGGAGTGCAGTAGCACAATCTTGGTTCACTGCAACCTCCGCTTCCCGGGTTCATGCCATTCTCCTGCCTCAGCCTCCCGAGTAGCTGGGACTACAGGCACCCGCCACCACGCCTGGCTAATATTTTGTATTTTTAGTAGAGACGGGGTTTCACTGTGTTAGCCAGGATGGTCTTGATCTCCTGACCTCATGATCTGCCTGCCTCGGCCTCCCAAAGTGTTGGGATTATAGACGTGAGCCACCGTGCCCAGCCATAAAATCTTAATTCTGTACCTGCCTCCTCCTTTCAGATGTGCTCCTGCCTTCGCCCTCTTACCGTAGGCAGGATGATCCTTGGCAGGTCTGGGGCCAGCGGGGTTGGGGAAGCAGCGGGTAGGATGCCCGTGGGGGGCAGCTCAGGGGGCAGGGCTGATCCGAGGGCTCCTCTGCTTGCCCCGTTCCAGGCCTGGGCCCGAGAGAGCTCGTCCAGGAGGTGTTGTTCCTGCAAGGACAATGCAGAGCTGCTGCACACTGGGGAGGGGGAGCCCCAACACTGCAGAGGCACCCGCAGCCTCAGGCTCAGGCCAGCCTGGGCCGGGTACAGGCCCCTCTCCAGGCAGGATGGCCATGGCTGGAAGACCCTTCGAGGAGTGTGCGCACGAGGGTGGCCTCCTTCTGAAATTTACCCAAGTGTGTCAGCTAGTTTCCAGTTGTTTTCTTTTCCCAGCCAACAGGATCTGTTCTTTCAAGCCAGTTCCAGGCCTACTTCGCTGCAAAGATCTCCCCCTAGAAAAGCGACCCCACCTCCCTGGCGTCTCTGCCACTCAGATGCATCTTTGGTGAGTGCCGTGGGAGCAAACCTCCGGGCATCCCAGAATTCCAGGTCCTCCTGGAATTGGGCCCCTACTCAACATTTCCTGCCCTGATGGAAACCCGCACACAGGCAGGTCTCTAAGCTAACAGTGCCCTCACTGGGGCCTGGCCCTGAGAGTCCAGAAAGGTCTTCCCCAATACCCTCCCACCCGGTGCTGTAAGGCTGAGCAGCCGTCTCTACTACAGTGAGCTCAGCCAGGTTCGCTCAGAGGGTTCAGGGCCTACCCGGAGTCTCTGCAGAAGGTCTCTCCTCTTCAGAGCAGTCTGCAGGGCGTCGTCCGGCCGGTCCTCATTTCCTGGAGGGAAGCACCTGCTTGCTCACCAAGGAACGCGTAGAGGCTGTCGCTGCAAGCACTCGGACCGGATGGCACTGCACCCATGTCGGAAGGCCCTGCCTCACCCACACTCCCAGGATGGATGTGGCCTGGGAAGCTCCTGGGCTTAGGTTATCCCAGAGAAAGAGGGACCAGTGCTGGGTAAGGAGGGCAAGGGTCAGCATCAGAGGAGGGGTAATCCAGGGAACTCAGTGTTGGAGTCTGGCCAACGGTTATCTCATTCCTGGAAGGGAGCCTGAAGTCACACGACCAGATTCCTCCTGAGTGCATTTTGTACACAGTCCCTTGGGCTCCGGGAGGCCAAGGCCTCTACGGGACTGGTTGCAGCCTGATCTTGGCCGCCTGGAGCCACCCTCTGGCCCCAAGTGGTCTAGAGTCTGGTCTGACCCCCAAGTATCTGCACATCCCTCAAGCCTGCCCCCCAGTCCGGGCGTGGTGGCTCATGCCTGTAATCTCAACAGCGGGAGGTTGCGCTGGGAGGATTGCTTGATCCTAGGAGGTCAAAGGTGCAGTGAATTGTGATCAGGCCACTGCACTCCAGCCTGGGCGACAGAGTGAGACCAACTCTGTCTCAGGAAAAAAAAAAAAAAAATCTGGCCGGGCACAGTGAGTCACACCCGTAATCTCAGCACTTTAGGAGGCTGAGGTGGGTAGATTACTTCAGGCCGGGAGTTCGAGGCCAGCCTGGCCAACATGGCAAAACCCCGTCTCTACTAAAAATGCAAAAGTTGGCCAGGCGTGGTGGAGTACACCTGTAATCCCAGCTACTCGGGAGGCTGAGGCATGAGAATTGTTTGAACCTCAGAGGTGGAGGTTGCAGTGACCTGAGATTGCACCACTGCACTCCAGCCTGGGTGATAGAACGAGACTCCTTCTCAAAAAAAAAAAAAAAGAAAAAGAAAAAAACGAAGTCTACACTCTTCGGGGAAGGGTCTGCACTCAAGAGAAGGCTCCGGAAGGTGGGGGGCAGGGTTCTGACCTCCTTTCTCTTAGGCACAGGGGTCCTGCCCCTCACCCAGCATCACACTGGAGTGGGGCCGTTGGGAACCCCAGCCAGTCCTTGGGGGTCCCCAAACTCTCTGCCCCAGGCACTGGTAGCCATTCTGTTCCCTTGCACTTGCTCTGCAGTCAGGGGACCTGGTTTGGGATTTTCTCTCTGTATTGAGACTGGGCTCTGCCTTTGGCAGCTGAGCCCCCACAGCTCACAGGTTGCCCCACGTTCCAAAGAACAGGAAATGCTCCTCTGGCCTCCTTAGCTCTTCCCTGGATGTCTCCGGGTAACAGTGAGGACAGCAGCTCCTCCCCAACCAATGGGCAAGCTCAGGCTCTGGAACCAGAGCAACTGGGTCTGATCTGCGTGTGACCACTGCCAGGGTGAGCAACCTCTTTCTGCCTCCATTTTCTCATCTGCAAAATGGGAACAATGAAGGTGCACCCTTTTGGGGTTTGCAGACTAAAGGTGATAAGGAATGGGGGTGTCTTCAACTCTGAATGTAAAGGAAACGTGTTGAGGACAGTCTTGGTGGTACCAGGAGTGCGGGTGATTCCCAGAGTTGCTGTCCCCACCTCCCCCTGGCGCGGCTACACTTGTGTCTGTCTGTGCTGGTTCCGAGCAGCCCAGGGGCTCTCACCTGGCTCGAGGTGGAGGCCTTCAGGTCCCCCTTCCATGCTCTGCCGTTCTCGCTCCAGCTTCTGTGAGGAAAAGAGACCATGACGGAGACACTGGCTCCAGGCAAAGGCCCTGTGTGCTCCAGGAATGGCTAAGAGGCTTTCTGAGTGAAAAGAACGGTATGTCAGGAATAACCCAGCCCCTCCAGGGCCAACAGGTGGGAGAAGAACCCCCTCCAAGGATCTTCATGAGCTGCCTCTGTCAGCCTGACCTCTAGCGAATTCATGTGTTCCACCTGCAAGCCTAGGGGCGGATGCTCTGAGTGGCCCCTTCAGGCAGATTTCTGAAGTGCAACCCTGGGAGAGACTGCACTGGTGAGGCCTCCAGGCTTCCCAGTCAGTGCATGCCTGGATCATCCCCCACCTGAACCCTGAGCTGAGCAGTTACCTACTGGGTGTGTCCAAGCGTGAGTCCCTCTCATGGCGGCCTGTGGGCCAGGATGCAGGGCTGGCAAAAGGCGGGCAGCAGGTCCCTCGGACAGCAGGAGAGGGAACAATGCAGGCAGGGGGTGCAGAGGAGCCCCCAGGCACTGAGGCCCCCCGGACCAGACCCTCAGAGAATGTTAAGACTGAGTCTGAGGATGGGTCTGCTGGGCTGCCAGCCCCAGGCCCGGCCCTTGGGGCCCTGCATTCTGCACCTGCAGGGCTGTCTCAAAGAGTCCCTCCAATGCCACAGCCTGGCAGTTGTTAGAAAAGGAGCACCCCGGGCTCTGCCTCACCTGTCCCAAGAGCTTCAGCGTCAGTCGGGTCACGTGCTCTGCTGCTGATGAGTCCAGCATGGTGGGAGCTGCAGGAGACGACTGTAGGGGCAGGGGAGGCCGCAGCCCACCTCCCTCCCTGGTTCTGTTACTTGAAGGAAAGAACTGCTTAGCAGGAGCCCAAGCACCAGTGTCACCTGCGGGGCTGTCCTTACCTCCTGGAGACCAGCCTGAGGTAAGAGAAGAGCCCTGTGGGAAGACAGCCACACCCTCCCTGGACTGCAGTGCCCCACAAGCCAGCGCTGGGCGCCGCGTGACAGTTGCCAGGCTGCCGGACACAGGGAGGCCCCAGGTTGCCAGGTTTCCACTGTGCGTCCTCAGGCTACCTGTAAACATTCATCCCCAGGTGTAGCCAGCTGGGCTTCATGGGAAGACAAAAAAAGTGGGCAGTGGCTGAGGCAGAGGGGCAGAGCCCTCAGACCTGGGGGAAGGGGACAGTCGTGACCCCCTGTGCACCACCAGCCTCAGGACCCAGTCCAGAAGAACCTGTGTGTTAGGGGAGGGTGCCCCACCCCTGTGTACTGCCTCCAGGGTGTTAACGGCACCTCCCCTCCTACAGACCCTCAGAGCAAGCAGGGAAGACAGGGTGGGGAGACTGCCTACCACGGAGTTCAGGAAATTCCAGGCAGCAGAAGGGGCGGGACAGATGAGGGGTTGTGACCTGCAGAGGGGCAGGGCTTCAGCAGGACCAGTGGGGGCGCTCAGGGGATGCGTCCCACCTTGGAGCTGGGGGCAACCGGGCAGGGAGCCAAGAATGCAGGAAGCTTCGCAGAGGGCGACACAAAACAGAAGCGTGGTCTGCACTTGGTGGGGCATTAAACTCCACATTGGCGAGTTAGTCAATCCCATGCTGGGGGGTGTCAGCAGCAGGGGCCCAGACCTGTGGACCTGAGGGGCGGAGGTTAGCACTTTGCTCAATGTAGCTAACCCAAGAACTTGCCTCAGTGGCCAAAATTGCTCTCTTGCCCTCAATTCTGTAAATGGCCCATGTCCATCAGTATCTATGGTTGTGTGCCTGTCCTGTCTTTCAATCCATATCCATGTGGGGAGCCTGGAGCTGGACCAGTGAGTGATAGGGTGAAGGCTGGCCAGCCCGTAGGAGGTCAGGCTCACAGAGGCAGCTCATGGAGATCCTCGGAGGGGCGCACCTCACACCTGCTGGCCCTGGAGGGGCTGGGTTACTCCTGATGTAGAGTTCAACTCACCTTACCCTGGAGGTCATCCAACCAGAAATGAAGTCAGCATGAAACCTGGCCTTACCCTCCCTCCAGATCTGTGGAGGTTGTGGGCTGGGGTCACATGACCTGCCTGGTGCCACACATTCCCAGATGGCAGTCAGAGGTCCTCACTGGTGTTGCTGGACATGAGCAGACTCTGGCCCCATATTTAAGATCCCAGTGCCATGGGGCGTTGGCTCATGCCTGCAATCTCAGTGCTTTGGGAGGCCAAGGCAGAAGGATCACTTGAGCCCACAAGTTGGAGATCAGCCTGCACAATGTAGCAAGACTCCATCTCTGTAAAAAATAATAAAAAAGGGCCCAGCGTGGTGGCTCACGCCTGTAATCCCAGCACTTAGGGAGACTGAGGCAGGCGGATCACAAGGTCAGGAGTTTGAGACAACCTGGCCAACATGGTGAAACCCCGTCTCTACAAAAATACAAAAAATCAGCCAGGTGTCGTGGTAGGAGCCTGTAATCCCAGCTACTCAGGAGGCTGAGGCAGGAGAATTGCTTGAAATCGGAAGGCGGAGGTTGCAGTGAGCCAAGATCGCGCCACTGCACTCCAGCTTGGGCAACAAGAGCAAAAACTCCGTCTAGAAAAAACAAACAAACAAACAAACAAATAAATAAATAAATAAAAGAACCCAGTTCTTGTCCACAGTCATTAACAATGACAGTCTTGGGAGACATTTAAAGTTCTGAGTGTGCACAGAACCAAAACCAGGTTAATTTAGTTAAGCAACTGTATAGAGCACCCTTGATATAAGTGACCTCATCTGAGAAAAGGACTCCATCTTACAATTTTTTTTTTGAGATGGAGTTTCACTCGTTGCCCAGGCTGGAGTGCAGTGGTGGTGTCATCTCAGCTCACTGCAACCTCTGCCTCCCGGGTTCAAGTGATTCTCCTGCCTCAGTCTCCCGAGTAGCTGGGACTACAGGCACACCACCCCTGGTTAATCCTTGTATTTTTGGTAGAGACGGGTTTCAACATGTTGGCCAGGTTGGTCTTGAACTCCTGACCTCAAGTGATCCGCCGTCTCGGCCTCCCAAAGTGCTAGGATTACAGGTGTGAGCCATAGCACCTGGCCCCTGATACCTTTTAAAAGATAGGGCCAGGCACAGTGGGTGGCTCACGCCTGTAATCCCAGCACTTTGGGAGCTGAGGTGGGTGGATCACTTGAGGTCAGGATTTGGAGACCAGCCTGGCCAACATGGTGAAACCTCGTCTCTACCAAAAATACAAAAATTAGCCGGGTGTGGTGGCACACCTCTGTAGTTCCAGCTACTTGGGAGGCTGAGGCAGCAGAATTGCTTGAACCCGGGAGGCAGGGGTTACAGTGAGCCAACATGGCACTACCACTGCACTCCAGTCTGGGCAACAAGAGTGAAACTCCACCTCAAAAAAAAAAAAAAAAAAAAAAAAGGGTATCAGGCCAACAGGGACCAGATGTGTCCTCATCAGTAGATACTGCACCCACCCAGGTAAGGACGTAAACAAGAACACTCTTACTATCAGTCCTCACCAGAGTACTCTATGGCCATGAAAAGAGCAGAGCGCCACCAGGTCAAAGCAGCCATTTTACAGATAGTCTTGCTGTCACTTGTGAGAAGCCCTCCACATCTGCTGCTGAAGGTTCTGCCCACATCAGAGATGCTTCCTTGCCAGACAGATTCTCCTTTTTGTTGAACTGGTTAACTTTTTTTCCTCTCCTCTTTCTCTTGATGTGAAATGTTACTTTGATGTGGAATGTTTATAACATTTATATATTGATCAAGTATACTATTATATATGGTTTGCAATACTGACTGACTTGAGAGACTTGAGCCTGTGTGCCCACAGCTGTGACTGCCAACTGAATGGGAAGCACTAAGAATTGCCTCCTCGGGATCTCTAGTAGTAAACATAACACGCTCCAGAGGGCATGGATTTGTCAGTTTATTTATTTTTTAATAGGCTTTTAAAGAACAGTTCTACATTTACAGTAATTGAGAAGATAGTACATGGAGATCCCACATACCATGTGTGGCTTCCCCTCTTATTAACATCTTACCTTAGTGTGCTACATTTGTTATATTTTTTTGAGACAGTCTCGCTGCCACACCCAGGCTAGAGTGCAATGGTGCGATCTTGGCTCACTGCAACCTTCACTTCCCAGTTTCAAACGATTCTTCTGCCTCAGCCTCCCGAGTAGCTGGGACTACAGGCACGTGCCACCGTGCTCAGCTAATTTTTGGGCCAGAGCCAGTGCACCTGGCCCATTTGTTATAATGATTGAGACGAGACACAATTAACTAAAGTCAATTTTAGTTTGACAATTTCCTTAGGTTTGCCTCATGTCCCTAATGTGGTATCCATTGAAACACCCCATTACATTGAGTTATATGTCTTTAGGCTCCTTCTCAGACTTTCCTCGTTTTTGATGACCTTGTCAGTTTCGAAGACTACTGGGCAGATGTTTTGAAGAATGTCCCTCAATTAAAATGTGTCTGTTTTCTCCTGGTTAGACTGGGACTACGGGTTATAGAAAGAAAGCATCTAGGGGTGAAGTGCCACTGTCACCCCATCACATCAGGGACACACATTGTGTCCCTGTAACTGTGAGGCTGACCTGGGTCACTTGGCTGAGGTGGAATCTGTCAGTTTTCTCCACAATAAAGTAGTTCTTTCCCTCCTTTTCTTTATTGCAGTCTTTAGGAGGAAGTAGCTATGTGTGGTCTACACTTAAGGAGCGGGGAGTTACGTTCCCCTCAAGGCTGAGTATTTACAAAATTTATCTGGGCAGCTTTTTTTTTTTTGAGTCGGGGTCTCAGTCTGCCACCAGGCTGGAGTGCAGTGGTTGCCTGGCCTTGACAGCTTTTTAACAGTTTAAAATGAATTGAGGCTGGGCAAGGTTGCTCACGCCTGTAACTGCAGCCCTTTGGGAGGCTGAGACGGGTGGATCACTTGAGCGCAGGAGTTCGAGACCAGGCTGGGCAACACGCAAGACCCTGTGTCTACTAAAAATACAAGAATTAGCCAGACATGGTGGCGTGTGCCTCTAATTCCAGCTACTCAGGAGGCTGACATGGAGAATCACCTGAGACCAGGGAGGCTGAAGCTGCAATGAGTTGTGGTCTCACCATTGCACTCTAGCCTGTGTGACAGACTGAGACCCTGCCTATAAAAAAAAAAAAAAAAAAAGAAAAAAGAACTGAAATAAGACCCAAGTCCAACATTTGCAGAACCTCTCCAGAATGTGCACAGAAACGACTCTGGGGTTCTGAGAAACAGTCTAGGCAAACCTGGGCACATCCCCTCAGTTTCACAGTTGTAAATGTATTGTAACACATAACAATTGTGAGATTCAGGCACAGTCTGGGTCTCTGTTCCTGGAAAGTGTGATCCTCTGGGCACAGCCCCTGCTCCCTTGGCTGTGTTGCCTGCCTGGCCCCTGCTCTAATGAGCCCACTGCTCAGAGTTTGCTCAAACCACCCAATTCCGAGTCTGGGAACCAGGAGATGGCTGGACACCCGCTCACCACACAGAAGACTGTGGCCTGAGTCAAGAGAAGTTTCTGGCGGTTGAGCTTCCAGGGCTTCCTGAGCGAGGTTGCAGTGAGCCGAGATTGCGCCATTGCACTCTAGCCTGCGCGTCGCAGCGAGACTGTCTCAAAAAAACAAAAAACAAAAAAGAAAGAAAAAAAAAATTCTGAGCAAGATTCCAGGGCTTCCTGAGGGCGCGTTTAAGTTGTAGTTGCTGAGAATCCCAAGTTCTTGTGGAGGCTGCAAGGTGAGCTTGCGTCAGCGAGGAGCCACTCCAGCACGCTCAGGGAAGGGCATCATTACTGCTGCAACGAACCGTTTGCAAGTGAAGGCGCACTAACAGGTGGAAGGACTACAAAGAAACCCAGAAACCAGACCTGGACACATGAAATACAGGGTTTAGCTGAAGAAATACTCCACAGGAAAGGACGGCCTGCGCGACGTCACCACCCCGTCTGCCACTTCGCTCCAGTTAGTTCCCCAAGTCCGCCCACGCGCGCGCCCGCTGAGAAAACGCCCACCCCGGCGGTCCCGCTGCAGGTCACAGGCGGTGCAGACCCCGGGACTGTGTCCAGGCTTCGGTGTCCAGGGAACTCCAAGGCACCCAAATCTTCCGTGGTTGCCACCTCTTCACGCTCAGGTTCCGCTCAGCTTAAGCTGAGGGGCGACGACCTCAGGCGACGTCAGTTTCCCCCTGGGACCACGAACCCACGGCCCCATTTATCTTCTTTCTCCTAAAAACCTTTTCTTTTTTGAGACCTAAGACATCAGTGAGACACACGAGCAGACACGGGCTCAGTCGGGAAAGGCGGGAACTCCAAGCGGCGGGGCCTGCAGGTCCAGGCGGTTCGCGGGCTTTCTGACCGCATTCGGCCGAGTTCTTCTCTGAAGACCCGGGATCCCCGGCTGTGGGGGCGCATTCGGCGGGCTGGTGGCGTAGGATTTTGTCCCGGGCTGGGGTGAGGGAGCCCTTCGGATCCCGAGATTCACCTCAGCAGCCTCCTCTGGGGTAGGCCTCAACTTCCCGCGGCGGCCCACGGTCAACAACTAATTCCTGAGGGGGGGAAAACGGCCTGGCCCTGTCCAGGTGGTTGCTAAGCGCGGTCCGACGCCGCCCGCACGTGCAGTGAGCCCGGCCAGCGGTCCTGTGGACACAAAGCAGAGGCGCCGCCGCGCGCAACCAGCAGCACGAACATTTTGCCGCTCGGCCGGCCCAGCAGGGGCTTTTAAAATCGGCCAATCACAGCGGGCGCCAGGCCTCCGCTATCCGCTTACTGGTCCTGCCGTAGGAGGCGGGTACGTGAGCGCGCCAATCTGTGGCCGGCGAATGTATAGGGCGGGGCTCCGCCCAGGCTGCACCGCCCTGAGCGCGCGTGCGCGAGACCGGGAACGCGGCCCCCTGATTGGCGGCGCGTGCCGGGGGCGGGGCCGCGGCTGCGTGACAGTTGTCGCGGGGGAGGGCGAGCCCCAGCGCGGGGGAGGGAGTGTAAATAGAGCGAAGGCTGCTCTGTGTCAGCCCCGTCACCGACGGGCGGCCCGCGCGGCGTCTGAGGGAGATGGAAGTTGAGCAAGAGCAGCGGCGCCGAAAGGTGGAGGCCGGGAGGACGAAGGTAAATATCAGAGGCTTCTTCTCTAGCTGCTGCGGCGTGAAGTCCTAAGGGCGGCTCCGGTGCCCGCCACCGCCCCCTGCCAGGAGCGGACGCTGTCCGGCGGAAGCCGCGGCCGAGGTCTCGCTTTCCCGCCGGCTCCGCTGGAAGCCGCCTCCTGGCCGCCGCCATCTTGAATCCGCCGCTCTCCGCCAGGGCCCGACCCCCACCGCGGCCACAGCCAATCAGCGGCCGAGACGCGCGGCGCCTCTCGGGCGGGCCGGGGCTGCGCCTGCGTCGGGGGGGCGGGTTGCTCGCAGTGCACGCCGGGGCGGGGTGTGGCTGCCGGGCGGGGACACGAGGGCGTGGCGTGGCTGCGCGGAGCGGGGTGTGGCGGGCGCTGGACCCCAGGCTGGATCCTTGAGTGGTCCCCGCGTCCTCCCGGACAGGGTGGCTTGGGGCGGGCAGCCGGTATTCGGGGGGCTGTGCCGTCTAGCGCCAGTTTCCGGCGCGGCCGGGGCCGGGGGCGTGGCGCGGGTGGCCTGCAGCGCCTTCTCAGGGTGCGCCTTCGCCCCGTTCGTCGGAGATGCTTTCCCGGCGCGTTTCCCGCGGCGTTGCAGTCCTTATCGTGTGAAAGGCCCCCGCGGCGCTCCCGGCAGCCGTCTTCTTCCCGCGCCCTTGGGCGCGCTTCCTGCCCATCCTGGCCCGGCGTAGCGCTGCCGGGAACCCACGCGGCGCTGGCGCCGGCCCCTTCGAGGGACGCGTTCCCGTCTTTTCCCGCCCCGGGTTTCGCCGTGAAAAGGCGCTGGGTTTGATGGCCACGGACCGGGGTTTCATGTGGAGAGTAAAGCGCGCGGAGCCCATGACTCGGGGACGCCGGAACGGGAGTCCCGAGAGCGCGAGGGGGAACCGCAGGAGCTGTCGGGACGAGGCCGGCCTCTCTGCGAGGTGCGCGCGGCTCCCCCCAGGATGCTCTGGCCGGGGCGCTGGGGAAGAGCGGGGGCTCCAGGGCGCGGCCGGCAGGGGACGCCGGGCTGGGCTGGGGAAGGGCTGAGGCGGGCAGGCCTGCAGGGAGCTGCGAACGGGAGCACAGAGCTCCGTGGAGGGTGGAGAGTGGGGAGGGAGGGACAGGATGCCGCCTGTAGGGCGACGCAGGCTGGAGACCAGGTCTGTGCTATCCCCACGTGGATAGGTGTGGTGGAGGAGGGCACGAAAATAAACTACGTGAGTTTGACTTTGAAGAAATTTCTTTGAGAGACCGTTTTCTTGTGTAAATGGCCTTGTGTAATTTTTCTGGGTCCATGAGCTTGTGTACCTGTCGTTTACACAAATGTGTGTTCCATGCGTTTTGTTTTTGTGGCCACAGTTGTTTGAGGGAACAGATGTCTCCCCGTGAAAGGCTGATGTGGGATCGCATACCTCTTGAGTAAGATGTTAGTGGGAGATGAGGCTCACACATAGTCTCAAACCCTCGGATTTGAGGACTGAGCAGAGCTAGGCTGTGCCTTCTGATGGGCGATGCTCCGTGGAGGTCCCTGGTGCTTTGGTGAGCTGTGTCATGAAAAATAGAACATCTGATTCCATAAAGGAAGATGTGAGATTGACCTGGCTTAATTAATTTTTTGCTATTTCTGTACCTTGTCTCAGAATCTATGGCTAGGAAGTTTTGGCTGGGCTATGTATTTCTTCAGTTGGGGGAAAATTGGGGCAAGAAGGGAGAGATTTAGCTTTTATATCATTTTAAAACTTAAGTATGCCTTGATTAGGCTATCAATCTTTTATATAGATGTATTTTTTTAAAGTTTTATTTTTCTGCAAACTGCCAAGGGCTAGGAAAGCTATTCTGCCAATCAGCTGTATGGTTTTCTTTACCAGGCATAATTAGCAGTCCTCATTGTTAGACCCCTTGGATATAGATATTGATGAAGGCAGTGTTTGTGGAGAGCGATCTGTTGGCCAAGTGTGGCAGAGTAGACTGGGTCAGCCCTCAGGCCTCATGATCCCCACCAGTCTGTTGACTTTGTGGTTGTGTTATTTTTTTCTCACTTATCTTTGCCTTTACTACTTATCTACGTTTTTGCGCAGCTTGCTCACTTCCGACAGAGAAAAACAAAAGGTGACGGTTCGCATTCGGAGAAAAAGACGGCGAAGAGGAAGGGCTCGGCTGTCGATGCGCCTGTCCAGGAGGAGAGTCCGATAGCCAAGGAGGACCGTGCACTCCGTGGAGGAGGGGACATTTGCAAAAGCACATCATGTGACGACACCCCTGATGGGGCAGGCGGGGCCTTTGCTGCTCAGGTAGATTTGCTCATCATTGTGTTTGAACATTTCGCTTATCTTCTAGTGATTTCTAGTGTGATTTACTAAAGATGGTCTTTGGTCTGTTTTTGCCTTTCAAAAGTGAGGAAAGAGTGTGTTATTTTAGTTTATAAAAAGTGAGGGCCAGGTGCGGTGGCTCACACCTGTAATCCAGGCATTTTGGGAGGCCAAGGCAGGTGGATCACCTGAGGTCAGGAGTTCCAGACAAACCTGGCCAACATGGAGAAACCTCATCTTTACTAAAAATACAAAAATTAGCCCGACATGGTGGTGCACACCTGTAGTCTTAGCCACTTGGGAAGCTGAGGGAGGAGAATAGCTTCAACTCGGGAGGCAGAGGTTGCATTGAGCCGAGATCGTGCCAGTGCACTCCAGCCTGGGTGACAGAGTGAGACTCTATCTCAAAAAAAAAAGTGAGTAAATTTTTATGGTTTTATTCTTAATAAATTTGGTTTTTCTTTTCTTTTCTTTTTCTTTTTTTTTTCTTTTGTTTGTTCCAGACAGCGTCTTGCTCTGTTTCCCAGGCTAGAGTGCTGTGGTGTTATCACAGGTCACTCCTGCCTCAAACCCCTGGGCTCAAGCGATCCTCCCTCCTCAGCCTCTAAAAGTGCTGGGATTATAGGCACTTTATAATACCTGTTTTATCTTATGTAATTTTGAGAAATTTTGGATTAACTGCTTGAAGGCAAGTGTCAGTTGTTTGCTTTGTAATGGAAGACTGGGAGTTCTTCATGTGTGGTTGTGTCTATCAGCCCCTTTGATGGGTGTTTCTTGGAACACTTAAAATATAATATTCCTTCACATACTTGTAAATGCACCTGTGTGTCACATTTGTCTTTTACCTTTTCACTAAAAGTGAGATGAGGAGGGAAGGGGTGAAGGTATTGCAGACATGGTGTGTTGCTAGAGGAGACTGGGTCTGCTGCTTGAGGCCTTGTGAGCTGCAGGGGCACCCCCATGGGCAGGTGTGGCAGGTGAGTGCACACTGAGTCCTGAAGGGGCTGGCCTTCCAAGCTCCTTGGGGGCCTACAAACCTGCCTGGAGGCAGGCTGTCCTTGGGCCTTTTGTGTGAATTATGAACAAGGGCCTTGGGTGTTGAGTGTCCCTGCTGCTGCAGCAGAATGGGTGCAGGCTTTGGTGTTTGCTAGGATTCGCTGGAAAACTGGTGACCAAAGGGAGAATCTGGCCCAAGGTCATATGTGTCTATCCTGCTTTACTTAAAAAATTGAGTTGCAGCCGGGCACGGTGGCTCAAGCCTGTAATCCCAGCACTTTGGGAGGCTGAGACGGGCGGATCACAAGGTCAGGAGATCGAGACCATCCTGGCTAACACGGTGAAACCCCGTCTCTACTAAAAAATACAAAAAACTAGCCGGGCGAGGTGGCGGGCGCCTGTGGTCCCAGCTACTCCGGAGGCTGAGGCAGGAGAATGGCGGGAACCCGGGAGGCGGAGCTTGCAGTGAGCTGAGATCCGGCCACTGCACTCCAGCCCGGGTGACAGAGTGAGACTCCGTCTCAAAAAAAAAAAAAAAAAAAATTGAGTTGTTGCCAACAGTTAAAATTTGTGTTATTCCGCCTACAAATCCTGATTTTTTTTTTTTTGAGACAGAGTCTTGCTGTCGCCCAGGCTGGAATACAGTGGCCCGATCTCAGTTCACTGCAAGCTCCGTCTCCTGGGTTTATGCCATTCTCCTGCCTCAGCCTCCTGAGTGGCTGGGACTACAGGCACCCACCACTTCGCCTAGCTAGTTTTTTGTATTTTTTTTAGTAGAGATGGGGTTTCACCGTGTTAGCCAGGATGGTCTTGATCTCCTGACCTCGAGATCTGCCCGCCTCGGCCTCCCGAAGTGCTGGGATTACAGACATGAGCCATCGCGCCCGGCCCTGAATTTTGTTTTTTATCTCTTGAGTTTTTTTGGTTGTTGGGTTGGTGGTTTTTTTTTTTTTTGAGACAGAGTCTCACTCTGTCGCCCAGGCTGGAGTGTAGTGGTGCGATCTCCGCTCACTGCAAGCTCCGCCTCCCGGATTCACGCCATTCTCCTGCCTCAGCCTCCCGAGTAGCTGGGACTAAGGGCGCCGGCCAACACGCCCGGCTAATTTTTTTGTATTTTTTTTAGTAGAGACGGGGTTTGACCATGTTAGCCAGGATGGTCTCGATCTCCTGACCTCGTGATCCACCCACCTCGGCCTCCCAAAGTGCCGGGATTACAGGCGTGAGCCACCACGCCTGGCTTAAAGCAATATTTTAAAAACCAAAGGCTGGTAAAATGTAAGGATACTTTCTCTAGGAAACTGTGTGCTCCTGCAGCCAGCATTCTGCATGGAATGAAGGCCTGGCAGGGCCTGACTGATTTTCGTCTCACCTCGTCATCCTGAGTTCCTCTGCACAGTTGTAGCTTGACGGCAGCAGAGACATACCTCCTCTT